AGCCCATAATGGCAATTGAAACAAAACCTAATACTATAATTTAGCACAGAATCACACAACAGTTTGGGTTGGAATGTAACTTTGAAGATCATCTAGTCTAACTGCCTCTTCAAGGAGCAGGGACATCTTCAACTAGATCATATTGGTCAGAGTACCATCCAGCCTGACCTTGAATACTTCCAGAGATGATGAGTCTACCACCTTTATGAGCAATCTGTGCCTGGGTTTCACCACGATCATTGTAAAAATGTCTTTTTTATATCTAGTCTGAATTGACCATGTTTAATTTAAAATCATAACGCCCTGCCTTATTGCAACAGGCACTACTAACTTTGTTAGAAGTCCTCTTTAAGTACTGGAAGGCTGCAATAAAGTGTCTCTGGAGCCTGAAAAAAGCAGGCTGAAAAAAGCCCAGCTTTCTCAACCTTTCCTCATAGAGAGGTGTTCCAGTTCTCTGATCATCTTCATAGCCCTCCACTGAGCCCACACCAGTAGGTCCTCTTCTTTCCTGTGCTTAGTACTCTGGAGTTGGATGTGGTACTCCAGGTAGGGTCTCGCTAGAGCAGAGGGGCAGGATCCCCTCACTTGCTCTGCTGCCCACGCTGCTTTGCATGCATACAGTTGGCTCTCCAGGCTCCAGGTGCACATTGCAGGGTCATGTCCTGCCTCTCACCCACCAGCACCCCCAAGTCCTTCTCATGAGGGCTGCTCCAATCTGTTCATCCCCAGCCTGTGATAATACTGGGAGCTTCCCTGACCCAGGTGCAGCACCATGCATTTGTTCTTGTTGAACTATATGAGATTTCCATGGGCCTATTTCTTGAGCTTGTACGGGTCTTCCTGGACGACATTCCATCCTTCAGGTATATCAACTGCATCATTAAGCTTTGTGTCATCAACAAATTTGCTAAAGGTTCACTTGATCCAACTGTGTATCTAATTGATGAAGGTATTATTCTCTGCTGGGCACAAGACTTGTGTATTTGCCCACTACTGGGCACAACACATTTCACCATTCTCCATCTGGACACTGAGCCATTGACTACAACACTCTGAATGTGACCATTCAGCCAATTTCTTATCTAACATTCCACTAATCAAATCCATCTCTCTCCAATTTACAGAGAAGGATGCTGTGGGGCACTGTGCCAAACACTTTACAGAAGGCCAGATAAATGATAAAATGATAAATTACATCTGTAGTCCTTCCCTTGTTCACTGATGTAATCACTCCATCAGAGAAGGCCGCTGGATTGGTCAGACAGGACATGCCCTTGGTGAAGCTGTGCTGGCTGTCTCAAATCACCTCCCTGTTTTCCATGTGCCTTAGCACAGCTTCTGGGAGGATCTTCCCAGGAACAGAGATGAGATTGACAGGTCAATAGTTACCACAGTCCTCCTTTCTACCTTTGAAAAGATGGGTACAAGGCTTCCCCCTCTCCAGTCACCTGGGACTTCACCCAATTGCCATATGAAAACACTACAGCCTCATATAGTTTCTTTTATTGTGATCACAGACATACCTATTTCATTACTTTTGAACTAAATTTTTATTTTGACCTAAAACCAATACTGTTACTTTTTTTTACTCTGAACTTTAAACTTTTATGATGGCCTGCAATAAAATGTACTCTAACTACAATAGAGAAGAGATGGGTTTCTGAAATATTGAACTAAAAGCCTATAAATTGCTGCAAAGAAAGTTCAAACAGGACCACGAAATTTCAGAAAAGAGCTATCTGAAGAGGCTCACCTCCTACAGGGAAAGAGAGTAAGAATAGGCTGTAATTGCTGGCTACTATTGTGTTTAATCAGAGAATCACTAAGTGCCTATAATTGCTGCCAGATGCTCGGCAGAGGTCAAAAAGTCAAACTGAATGTTAGGAATTATTAAGATAGAAATATAGATGAAAATAAAGGATTTTTTTTGCCTCTGATCGTATACATAGCACCTGCAAAAGGACATTCAAATGTATAAAATTACTTGCACACAAAAAATAAGTACATAGGAGCCACTAACCTGAGTTTCCTCAGATCCTCCTTTTTGCCTCACTGGAAGACGTGCATGCTGCTTTTGTTTTTCAGACATAATCTCCCTTGATCACCATGATATTTCAAAGATGATAGGGTAGCCCCAGAATGATATCAGCCAGCGCCCTCATTGCCCTTAAGTGCAACATGTCTGGTCCCATAGATTGCTGTATGTCTGGTACACTTCAGTGCTTCTTTGTTCTATCCTCTACTTCAGGTAATGCTCCATTTCCTCAGGCTGTGCTGCCAGGAAAAGGACTTAAGAGGCCTGGGAGCAAATGAAAAAAAAAAAAAGTTGCAGAAAAGTGGCCTGATTTTGGCTGGAATAGAGTTAATTTTCTTCATAGTACCAAATATGGTGCTATGGATTGGATTGGACTTTTATTTGTGCTGGAAAACGAGTTGGTAATTCAGGGATGTATTAATTCTTGTTCAGCAGTGCTTAGAGAGTCACAGCCTTTTCTGCTTCTCATACTGCCCCACCAGGCTGGAGATGCACAAGGAGCTGGGAGGGACACAACAAGCTGGCATTTTGCATTGTTGAACCTCATACACTTGCCTTGGCCCATCATTCCAGCCTGTACAGGACCCTCTGTACAGCTTTCCTACCCTCCAGCAGATCAGCATTCCTGCCCATCTTGGTGTCATCTGAAAACTGACTGAGGATGAGATCGTTCCTTTCTGTAAAGTATTTTTTTACTCAGATCCAGTCAGAAGCACCGGGTGATCACAAATCGAGCAAGGATAATCTCCTACACTGTGGATTGGTGTTTTCTGTTTGCTATAAATTAGCAAGTAACCAACTTAAATTCTTGCCTGTCAGTCTGACAGTGTCCATATGTACCTCAGTTTGTAGGAAGAGGATACATTAGCAGTAAGAGCTTACTTTCAGTACCTACGTGCCCCAAACACTGAGCTGTACAATTTCATTTTGAAAGACTCTAGTATTTCTTTAATTTCTCATGGCTGGGCCAATTTTGAGGGATACTTTTTGTTATTCTATTGGACTGCTAATTGTAAGAAAGCAGCTATGTAGTCTTGCATATTCAGAAGTGATTCCGTACTTTCAGAGATCCTTTGCTGCGTGAATCTTTCCCTCATTCCCACTACATTGGTAATACGAGCATTGGACACTAGGTGGTAATCATCTTCTGGTAAGCTCAGCACGAATATTACTATGTGAAATGCCTTTTTCTAGCTATTTTTGCACCACGAAAGACTACAATGCATTTATTTCAGAATAACTTTTAAAATATTTTTTTGTTTGTGTTGGATTTAATTGGATATAGAAACCTAGAAACTAATGTGTCAATAGCTGTTTACCTAGCCATTACTTTGTTGTTATGTTTATTTCTCCTATATAAAAGATAGAAAGTCATTGCTTGTTATAATTTTCTCGGGAAAATGAAATCAAGATGTAAATTTTTTTACTTTGCTTCAAATTGACAAACTCTGTTTCATATTGACATATGGTAAATTTTTGCCCCTGTGTTGGTAGAGAATAGTTCATTAAAATACATAAAGCTTTTGTTGACACAATTCAAATGATAAATAATGTAATTTCAATCTAAAATTCTTTGGGTAGTGTGTATTTACTTATTGTGTTTTGTAGATGTGCATTTAAATTTTTTTTTAAAGTGAAGAGGCAACTATGTAAAATATATATTTACTTCCCTAATATATCTTATTGAAGTAACATCACTGATACTGCTGTGGATGCTAAAATAACATGTCTATATGGATATAACCTCTGGACCAATTGACATTCGCGTGGTTGGGAGCTTGTTTTTCTGTATTAAGATCAGGAAAAACATCAACCCACTGTTGGAAAAGTAGAAGGCTTTATTCATTCTTGTAACAAGTATATGGAGTAGAGAAGGTAGACTGGGGAAGTAGATTCTTCCCTTGGGATTATAGGAATGTACATTCTTTTAATTTGTACTTTAATTCAAGACAAAACCTTTAGGAATTTACACATATATTGTTATTATTAAACTCTATTTCTACAGTTTTATTTCTTATATGCAAGTTCCAAAAGCTTGATAAATCTCAAGATGATAATATATTTGGCTCTGTAAATCAAATATAATTATAGTAATCAGACATTTGGCATTATGAAACAAAACAGAATCAGGAAATCATCCTAATTTGTTTGTTTCTTTTTTCTTTTACTGTTGTTAAATAGCAACCAGGGGAAAAGTTTTTCATTTGTTCTTGATTATTCTTCAAACTATTGATTGACTAGATATTCCATAAGGGTATTCCCAAACTGTATTGGAAAACCAAAGATTAGCAACAACAGGTTGTAACTGTAAGTTTAACAGCTATCATAGGCTGATTTTCAAAAGCATTTCCTCCTTTCTTATTTAGAGGAGTGAGTCTGCTGGAGATTCATTCTGTTGAGAGCTTGGCTGTGGATAAGTATCTCACTTAAATATTGCAGGTTTTTCTGCAGTGGATAAGGTACATGCCACCCCCACATCAGATGTTTGGGGAGGAAGAATGTAGTATTTATTACACAGGAAATGGAGAATTCTGTGGAGGTAGTATGCAATTGCTCTAATTCAATTTTTGCTGACATACCTGAATTTCTTGCTCAGAATGAGGGACTGGATATCTTTGTGGAGCCTGAAATTATTAAAAGAATTCTCTTAATACTTCATTAACTTCAATGGGAAAATATATTTTGCTGGTCATGCCCTGGAGTTTTGGAAGGTCCATCGTCACCACTGACTGCTGAGTTCTTGGGAGGGATGATGTAGAAAGCTGCAATTGAGATTGATGGAGCACACCAAACAAAACAAGCCACATAATGAAACATGAATATAAATGAAGCAAAGGTGGCAACATGGAGAAAAGACAAGATAAGAACAAAAATATTGGAGCAGAGCCGAAGCTGTTTAGGACTTTTTAATGTTAAATTGTACTTACCAAAGGATATTAACTGCTTGAAAAACTTGTTTTTCTAGGAGGTTTTTGGAGACTCATCTAAGAAAAATTCCAAGTGATGCTTTTTCTAATCTCCCCAACATCTCTAGGATGTAAGTTCTGTTTGATTTCTGATACTAGTCCTTTAAATTTTTGTTTAAAATTACTCTCCTTCTCCAAAATTCTGTCTTTGTGTATAAAAACTTATGAAAATGTTTATGTTACTTTGCTACCTCACCACTTATATTTTAGAACTGAAGGTAATAATTCTATTGTTTATAACCTGAACCAGTTATAGGAAGGCATTCTGTGCATTTGTGAACAAGACCACTCCTCCTTTATTGAAGTGGATGTGATAAATAAAGCTATAAAACATTTTTTTTTTTTAGTTTGCAAATTACAGGAAATTATTTCACTCATAACAAATTAACATATTCAATTGCTAGTCCTGGCTAAAAATTTGTTTCCAGCTGCCAGCATGATTTGTAGCACATCTCATTGGAGACCAGGGGCATTTCTGGACTAGAGATGGACTTTCACCAAAACATTAATATTTGTGTGGTGTAAGAGAGACTTCCATTGTGTCACTTCCTTTGTGTGCAAACATATGCATGGATACAGTCCACAAAAGCAGGACCAGCTGTGTCTACATGTGTCCCATTGAAGGTGGCTGTGTTAAGGAAATTTTCCTGTCCAACCATCCAGGAGCCACTGTGAGAGTTACGTTCACACCATCACCAGCTCGACCCCACATTTCCCATAGCAAAGTCTCAGATGTCCAGATCTTTTAATAGTTTAATCTTGATTCAATAACTAAATAACAAAATAGCCCGAGTTTGGTACCTTCAAGGAGGGATCCTGAACAAAGGAATCCTTGGGCTTTTATACTCTCACAGTTTCAGCCCACAGAAGTCTGTGGTCCTTGGCTCCTCCTGTGCCTCTGAGTGTGCCCCTCACCTGGCTGTGCCACGGGTCCCCTTGGTTATCAAAGGGTCCCCTTGGTTATCAAAGGGTCAGCAGTTCCTGGCCCCTTGCCTTGGGCTCCCACTGCTCAGAGCTCAGCCTGCAGCTCACACTGCAGCTGCAAACCGAGCTACCTGCACTGAATGGATTCCTCAGCAGCTGCCCTTGCACTGAACTTTTCATTGATGTCAGCAATCTTGACAAAAAGTTGTCCTTGTCACTGGCCCGTAATCTGTGATCCTGTGCATGTCTGTTTGATGCAGTGAATTTCTCTGCCACCTCACAATTCACTCCCCAGAATGAGAGCCATGTAATTGAGAAGGGACCTCAGGAGGGCTCTATCCACAATCTGCTCATATGATCCAACCAGAATGCACAGGGCTTTAACTCAGTCTGGTGCTCAGCTTTATCTGTGGCCATTGTTAACTAAATAAGCCACCTCATTCAGTAACAGGCCCACTTTTTATTGTTCAAATTTTACTACTAATGTAGCAATAGGAATTCTTCTTCTTGCCCTTGATGTTCCTAGCAAGTCTTGATCCTGTATGAGCCTTGACTGAATAGCTGAGAATTACCATTTAAGGATTCATGAAAAAGGACTTTGGGAAAACATGGCCTGCCTATTATATTTTATAGTTTCATCCAGATATATTGAAATAAAGACTTCCTAACATCCTTTTAAGTAATTGTTCTGGGATATCTGAAGCTTCATTTACCATCTCAGTTTAATCAGATAGATGGTGTATTGTTTGGGGTTTTTTTGGAGAAAGAGGAATATCCCTTGCATGATGTATAGTATTATATATAAAAAGGATAAACTTAGTTTAGAACAGAGTTTGATTCAATATAAAAGGGTGTCAGCCCTTCTCTGGTTCCAAAAGCTCCAACTGGCAATTTAAATTTGAATGCCCATTTGGATATTTCTTATAGCATTACTACTACCACAAAACTCCCACCTTCTTGATATAAACTTCAGGTTAGGGAATCAGTACCTGTGTTTTAACTACAACTTTTATGTGTATGTCTTGGCCTCTAATGTACCACATGTCTCATTTGCCTCTCCCAGCCCATAATTTCCGTGCAATGAAAACTGTGCAATGAAAATTACCAGACCATTCCTGGTTTTCCTAATTCATCTAGAAAATGTTCTGATGTTTCAACAGGGGAATATATATACTGTGTTTACTGTTCAAAATATAGCAATTCATTTTGCTATATGGTAACTACTATATGATTTCCACAAATAAACATGGGTTTTTTTGTCTGCACTGAATAAAAAATTTAGTTGTCCTCTTTATGAACCATGTTTAAACAAAAATTTTAGAGCTACAATTTCTCTTAGATGAATGCATGTCTATGTGCTCTTGATAGCCAGAAGTAGAGATTCTTTCCCTCTGTGCTGCTTTGGCGCATGAATGAAAGAAAAAAATTTTAATTATGTGCTTAATTGCAAAGCTAATTCCTGTCAGAAAGGCATCACTGAATACAAAAATTTTATAGGCTATTCAAATGCAAGAGAAATTTCTGGTTTCCACTGTTAATAATACAAATACACTAAATCTTGGTTAAAGGGCTTCACCTGGTGTTTTCTGCTGACTTAAGGACACATTGAACATTCAGGACTTTTAAGGTCAAGGATAAGGAACAATTTTTCTGGGTTTAGGATGATGCTTTGGGGTCACATTCACGAGTACCTCACAAACACCCAGTCTGTAGTTCATTGAAGTTTTTTCTCCACAGCTTCTCCACCAAAAGGAGCATCCCACGGTTCTTTCCACCATCAGCCCCATGTAAAGCACAGTTCCCCTGTGCACACTTCCCTGTACAGCACAGTGCCTTTGCCACCCTGTGCCCACTGCTGTCCCACAGGCAGTGCCACCACACAGCTCCCCACTCCTTGCATGTATCTGCACCTCCTGTGCTCCCCAGTGCCAGCTGATACAGCACAGCCTCAACTCAGTTTCCATTGCCTTGCTCTGCTTGTCCTCTCCTCAAGTGCCCCACGTGTCACCAAGCTCTCCATCAGCAGCAGAGGACAACAGGGGCAGCTGTGGGCACCAACACGGGATGCTGAGGCTGGAAAAAATCAAAGAAAGGTAGAGAGAGGGAGAAGGAAGAAAATAAGGTCTGGGAGAGGGCCTTGTAGCTGCTGCCAAGTGTTGATCTGATTTAAATCCTGCTCTCTCAGGTTCTTTCTGAGTGTCATCATATCTGGATAAGAAAAATAATGAGATGGCAAATGAAGTGACATGATGGGCACTAGCTGTGGCTTCCCAGTGTCTGAGACCTGTTCCTTTTTCTCTTTGCTGGTGTTTAGTTACATCTCTATAGATGAAACACTTCAGAGTCTGGAGGCCCATTCCTTCAACAGTTTGAGCAAAGTCACTCACATGTAAGTACTGTAATTAAATAAATGAATAAAGTGATGAGATAAATTTGAAATGTGTAGAAATAACAACATACATGATTATGTTCATCATTCCTGTCTCCTATGTAGCTAAATATTCAATTTCTCATTTCCTTCCTCCATAATGTGGAGTGAGTCAGCCTCTTCTTTGAGCTTATTTTATTGTTTGTTTTCCATACATCTTTTTGCTTCCCTTGCTCTTCTATATCTTCCCATAGAAATGTTGGTAGATATAGTGAGAAACTAGTGGGACTGCATCATGAGCTTGATGTCAAGTTGAAATAAAATGGCAACTAAGAATTCTTTCTGTCAATTTACTGCAGGTATGTGTGAAACAGTAATATAACATCAGAAATAACATCAGAAATAAAATCAGAAGGACCAAGGCACAGAGCAAAATGGCACTAGCTGGAGACATGAAAAATAAATAATCATTCTGAAAGTGCATTAGTAAAATGAAGAGTGTTTATATGGTTATTAAATGGAACAAGAATAATATGTAAAAAGGCTTCTGGGAAGTGTTTTTGAACCTTTTAGTTCTCATGTTCTGACCAATCCACACCAAGTGATGCTCTAAGGGCAGTTACAGAACTGGTAGGATGCATCCAGAGAATTCTTATCATCCATCAGGACCCTGTCAAAATAAGAATGCAATGCATTGAATAGAAAGCTCCACAGGATCCATCCTGTGTCTGGTACTCTTCCATGTTTCCATTACTGATCCAAAGAAGGAATTGGAAAGTGTGCCACTGTTGTAAAGCTCAGCTGGATTACCTTTTGGCATATTTCAGATATTTTTATTTGCAGAGGTTCCATGGGAGAGCACTGTTGGTCACCATGGATCCAGAAAACATTGTCAGAGAAAAGTCTTTTGTGTCCAGAAAGAAAACATGCCAGAGGCAGATTGATTTTTTAAGGTTGTTGCAAGAGGTGAAAGCTACCACCCATTTTCACACTAACATTTGAAAAAGTAATAATAAAGTTAAAGTACATTAGACAAGACTCATGTCAGCTTCCAGGAAATGTATTCCTATGGCTGGTATAAATAAACACTAGAATTCTTTTCCTGGAGATGTTGTCTCTACTACTGCAGGCCTTTAAGGCTGTATGATCTGAAATTCCCTAGATCTATTTAATCTTCACTCAGAGAAAGAGATTGAATTAGATGATGATTTAACACTGCTGTATTTTCTATTCTCTTTTTCCTTGTACTTTACACAGTGTGAATGAGAAAGACTAATAAAGTTACAGGAAAAAAATATAATTATTGTTAATGAAGTTAAAGAGAGAAACTAATGCTGGAGAATGTAAGTGACTCCTCTAAGAGAACATGAGCTTGACTAGCATATTTAGAAGCAGAGTGCAGGATCCCGAAATCTACTTCAGGCCAACAACCTGCTCCAGTAATATTCCTGAGTTTACAGCAAGGCTCTGGTATTATCAGTACTTACCTTTGGTTCTAATACCATTCCCTATTCTGTAGATTTTTTTCCAAACCAGTTGTGTCCATATTTTCTCTTCCTCTTTCATAGTTGTTGTGTCTTCAAAATTTCTTGTTTAACACAAATGAACATTTGATGAAACACTTACTGGCAGCACACTTTATCAGCAATGAATAAAGCATCTGCCACTATGCACTACAAATTCCTCATATGGTACTTCTTTTGTGGTTCACCTTATTAGAAATTAAAAATGAAATGCCTCAGAAAGCTCCAAAATCACTGCCTTATCACACTCACTCCAGCCCCCAGGCGTGGATGTGCTGTCCATGACTGGGAAGCTGCAGGTCTGTGCAGGAGTCAGCAGAGTTCACAGACACTACTCTCATGTCACCTCTGGCACAGGCTGTGGGGAGGGCACGGGGGGAATGTTTCCTGCTCCAGCACTGCCAAAAGAGAAACTGTACACAGACATACAAGATTTTTTTTTTTTCTTCACAAGACCCAAAAATACTACCCAGAATAAGACATCAGAACTCTGCTCACAAAAGTTATAGGAAAACCCTAAGCCTTTGCAGATAGCCCACAAAGAAGGGCCACCTCTACCACTCAAAAGCGCTTACCAGGTTTATAAAACCTGTTTGCAAGTAAGGCACATGTATGATTTAATCAGGCAATATCTAAGCATCTGGCAAGTTAGACAGTTGCATATAAGCTGTGAAATAAAGCAATTTATAGATTTGATCATTTTTATGAATTGTTTCTAAAGCCTGATTTGTAAAAACCTATTACTGTTGAGTTTGATTTACTTTCCAAACAGCAGGATTATCGAGGGATAAATTTGTATCTTGTGCTATGCATTCATTAATTTAATGTTCTCCATTTACACAGTATTTTTAAAGTATTATTGCTAAAATAATACTAGTTTATCACAGAGTATTTTAAAGGAGGTTGAGATTACTCTAACAGTTTTGAAAAGTCATTTCAGAGTTTTATTTTTACAGCTTGTTTTTCTTTGAACTTTCATAAAGTGCAGTTACATTATTTATGTAAATAATCTTTTTACCATAACTGAAACTTATACACACAGTTTCATTCTCTAAACGTTTGTTTTTAGACATAAGAACTTCTTAAGGGAAAATTCAGTGTTTGTGGAAGGGAGGAACTAATACTTTGCCTTAAGCCAAGTGTTATGTGAATAGGCATCCTGTGTTCATCATGATCTGTCTGCCAAGCTTATTTAGTGCACTTCAGCCTTGATCTTCAGCAACCCATTTTCTCAGTCCTTATTTGGTTCATGTGTGGTTACTGTGCTGCAAAGAGAGAGAAAAGACAGCAACACACACGGACTTCTTTTGGGGAGAAAAGGCCAACTTTATTGTATGGACAACTTGTATTTAAAGTGTGTTACGTGCAGCTAGGACAGGACAGTAGTTCATTGAACAATTGGGAAAAACATCCTTGGGACAGTACCTCAGGATGTATCCCGCAGGAAAGACACCAGGTGTTAATCTTTATTATGAATTCCACTCTGTTTTTCACCATGTTATCACCCTGGGAGACTTCCTCCCTAACTGAAGGTGTAGTCAGCTTGTCAGCCTGGGAATGGACCTGAGAGTCAGGAGAAATCCAGGCCTGAAAAGAATTTCCAAGCTGTAATTCCCTAGCTCTCTAAATGTGTGTGTCCACATTCATGTGTCTCTGTTGTGACTTTCTGATCCTTCCAGTCCTCACCTCTTTAAGCATAGGTCATGTATTTATGAATCCATGCCTTCCAAGTACTGAGCAACTTCTGCAAACTAAGGATACTCATCACCTGCTGTGTTTTAATGAGCCACATCTAATTTTGCTGGTAATTAATGGCAAAATTTCCACTCTATGAAGATGCAAATAAGGAACAAATTTTTGCTGTTTATTTTCTCCCCAGTTGTATTAAATTTGTCTCACAATGGTTTATTCTTTCCTCTTTTTGTCTTTACCTTTTTCATGTATATCTGTTTATGAATTCAGAATTGTCTCTCTCATACAATTACATAAGTATGTATTTGTATTTTTTGTAAATGTAATTGTGAAAGCATCTGATTAGCAATCAGTGTCTCTGTGTAGTTGCCTTACTATGTAACATTACACTAAATAAAAAAACTGTTGTAATTAGTTCTCTGTTTCTCAGGGAAACATTCCTACAAACAGAATCTCAGAAAAAATCAGTCTTTCTTTTCCTCCTTTCTCTGTGTCTTGGCTCTCCTGGTCTCTCCCTACTCTCTTCTCCTAACTCATAAAGCATTCTCCTCTTACACAACCACATAAAAAACCCCTCTCAGCATTTGGGAACAAGGCCAAAGGTTGTGGTTCAAGTAGCTTTCCCTCATTTGTGTGACGTCGTTTGGAGAGCTGATGGGGGAACACTTCCAGCTCTGCAGTGAGATGGAGCCAAGGGCCAGGGCAGTCCCACCATCCTCTTGGACAGCTTGTGATGCCAGGCCATGGGATACAGAACTGCAGGAAGGAGAGAGAAGCAACTGGAGAGGAAGCCTGAAGAGATTTGTGGGGGAATGCTGTGTACCTGCAGTGAATTTCAGAGCTGGGATAAGTGCTGTGCAAAAAAATCTTGTTAAAATCTGCAGACTGGAGGTAGGGAGTAGACTGTTGGGACCCTAAGCCACTTGTCTGGTGGCAGTGGTGCAAAGGCTTAAACAGGTGCATGCAGGTGAAATAACATGGATGATTTGGCTGCAGGGAGAGAATAAAACATGGAAGTAGATGTACAAGTGAGAGAAGCCAAGGTAGCTACAAAGAAAGTCCCAGAAGGTAGAGAAGGGGGCCAGGTTATTACAAGAGAATGAAAAAACTTATTTAAAACATTTCACAATTGCTGACCTGAATATCATTAGTCTTTGTAGCTATCTCAGCATATGAGGGCTATATTGCTACTCTAAAGCCAGTTTTGCAATTTCTGAACTCTGAGCTTAAACAGACTGAAAAATGTATCAATATTTCAAGACAGGTATGAAAAGCATGTCTGGTAAATGAAATTTAGATTCTCCTTAAATATGTAAATATTTGTGCTAGTTTTAATGTTACCAAATTCAGATAGAACTTTAAATAGCATATTAACCTTTCTGAAAAGTTAGCTGGCAAACATATGTCTCAATTGACTAATTAATTAGCCTTTTATTTGAATATTCTTACTATTAGTTTCATTTTCAGATTCATTTGGATTTGAAAGTAGTTATAGCTTTGCAATAAACATAAGTTGATAGTTATTTGTAAGTCTGGACACATATTTATAACATCCAGCGACTTTCTCTGCACATTCATTCTTGATGTGATAAAGTTTTTTGTGTATTTTCATTAAAAAGGAAAAGTGAATTGCTGTTCTTAGACAGGTGGTGATGTGATTGTGAACCTAGTACATTTTTATTCCTAGTATGAGTGTCAGAACAAAAATTTCAAACACTAAGTGTCTTTAAAGCACAAATAAGCCAGTTTTTAAATGGTTTCTGTACTTCCAAGACTAGAGTAGAATTTGTTATGCGATTTTAAATACTTTTGTAAATACTCCACAAATAATTATCTTAGCTTGTGGGTAAGTAGCAGCATACTTTTTTTAATGAGCATCTCTAACTAATCTTAGGACTGCAAAATGAAATGTATGTTTAGGACACATTTTGCCTTTTTGCATTAATGGTCAACAAAAATGCCTACTGCCTCAGATTTTCTTATATCTTAAAAGCACTTAATGCTCAGAAGGACTCAGAATTGTTACACTGCTATATGCCATGACTGTTCTATTTGTAGTGTGTCAAAGTCGCATTTCAAAAGTAATTTAAAATCAACTTTCATAGGCACTTAGATATCTGAGAACTAGCTTACTAGGCATTTTAAGTATACTCTTTGGCTTTATCTGCATTTTAGGCAACTTAAAAGCCTAATAGTTTTCCTAGAGCTGCTTGTCCAAGAACCTTAACTTTTTAAGTTCACAAGTTTCAATATTTTCAACTCACCAATTCATAGAAGATAAATGAGAAAAGTGTAAACCCTGCTTAATGAATTTACTAATAATCAACTTGCTCTTCTATCTTTATGGACCTTTTGGGAATAGTCTTTACACCACAGCAGTCTTCTGATTACAGTTTGAAAATTAGGATCCTGTAACATTTATTCACCTATGAGTATAGTAGTCATGACTGATTACTGTAAAAGAAGTTGTGAAATTCAGTTTGTCCTGTTAATTGATGAGATCAGAGCTATTCAAATATCTTTCCTCCTTATGGGCTTATCGTCATAGGCTCCATTATCCATGGAGCAATAGATATCCTATAAATCTGTGATTTTAGGGAGGAATTCCATCCAGTACTCTAAGACTAATGATGTTTGAGTATTTAAAACAAGGACAGCAGGCACAGTTCATGAATGGAAATAAATTTGGAGAACTGTGGGGAGGAAAGGGTTGGAAAAGAGAAGTGTGGCAAGAAGAGAGAAAAATAAATTGGATTAGAATCGTTTTCATTCAGAGACAAATCTTGCACCAGGGAGATGTTAGAAAACAGTGTCAGAGAATTCATATATTTGTGCTTGTTCTGGTTGTTTTTTGTCTGCTAAAGAAGTTAAATTTTCTCACAAGATAACAGAAAATCGTGAAAGACTTAAAAGCATTCTTCTTATAGGCTTGGGGCCTCTTTGTAAGCAGGGAAAGGAGATAAGAGATTGTAAAACACAGCCTGGTGAAGATTTGCACATGTTCCAGGCCCCCTTTGATATGTAAGGCAGGACCTCATTGTGTTTTGCCCCTGCTAATTTGAGCCTAGCAGTCTATGTGTCTCTACTTGCTCTTTTTGAATCCTCCAGCCAGCAACATGATGGAATAAATCTACTCTGTGCAGCTCAGCTGTGTGTCCTGGTCGTCTTGGTGTTACATACATTTATCCATGGCATATAAGATCTTCCTCTTTTTCACCCAGATAAGATGACAGGTCACATATTCAGGCCAGTCAAATGCAGGAGGCACATTTGACTGGACTAGAAGTAGGGAAAATTGGATTTCTGTCCTCATTTTTTCTTAAGTGTAACGCTCACTTCTGTCAAATCACCTTTTATTTTTATACCTCTCTCATCTATTTTGACTAGACACTTCTAAGCCTGGCTAGCTGCTCCACAATGGCTCTTTTCTTCCTTCTGGGCTTTAAGACACCTCTGTAACACAAAGTGTAGGATGAAATGCAAATATACAGTATATATTAAAGCATACTTCTTTTTTAATCCCAACATTACCAGTTCAAGAAAATTGAACAGCAGGGATATAAACATTTTCCTAATGTTTAGTTGAATCATATTGATTCCCTCACTCACATTATTTAAGATTTTCTCTCATTACTGTACTGTCTCATCTGGCTGTTTAAAATATTTTATTCCCAGATTAATTAATTCTTCATTTGCCTTTTTAAATCAGCAAATTTCCTCTCATGGCCCAATTACTTAATAAATCAAAATTGTATCTCATTACATTATTTTTTATTTTAATAAAAATACCATCTGTCGATTTTGAATTTTTATTTCCAGTACTTTCATCCAAATAATTTACACAGAATACTATGAATAGCAACATCCCAAAACTTGATGACTCTCTGATACTCCAATGTATTCTCCATCTCCAGGCTAAAGGCTAAACTGGAGACTCTTTCCCTGGAATATGTTTGGTCCACGGAGGAGTATCAGGCCAGGAAGCTCACAAGTCCAACATTTTGAAAGTAGTCAGTGATGGAAAAAATATGTCAGTTAATGTTTATGAAGCAAATTCCACTGTTGGGAATGTGATAGCTGCATAACTAATAAAATCATTGGACAGAAGCAAGAAACTGACACTGAGAGGATTTCTTTTAAATACAGAAACACAGCTACAGTTCAAAGTAGCTGACAGATGTGAAGAATAGTTGAATGCAGCACTACAGTAGCAGTACTGTAGCAATTAATGACATCAGTTTAACATGCAAGTAAAAGGTAAATCCTCATTTCCCTGCAATGTTTTAGTAAACAGAATGAAAATTTGATGACTTGAAAGGTGAAGCAGAACTGTTTTGTCAGTACAGCAATACAAGGAGAGATTAAGTCTTTGTACCAGTGTCTACATCATGATTTATCTACTAACTTCTGTCTCTTTTCCCACTTTTATTTCTTAGACAACTTGTCCGGGTTGATTTTATCCTATTAAAACAATTCCAGAGGTAGTCTTAAATCCCAGTTTTCTGATTCTTATATTATATAGGTTACTTGGCACAGTTAGGCCATGATAAATTAAATACTACTGGTTTCTGCCCATTGAGTCTCTTTCTCCAAGCAGCAGCTGACAGAATGAGAGGACACAGTCTCAAGCTGTGCCAAGGGAAATATAGGTAGGATATTAGGAAAAACGTTTTTATTGAAAGAGTGCTAAAGTACTAGAATGGTCTGCTTGGGGAGGTGGTGGAGTCACCATCCCTGGATGTATTTTAAAAAAGACTGGATGTGGCACTTGGTGCCATGGTTTAGTTGAGGTGGTAGGGTGTGGGTTGGACTCGATGATCTTGGAGGTCTCTTCCAACCCAGTGATTGTATGATTCTGTGATTCTGTGATTCTGTAATTCTGTGATTCTGTGATTTTGTGATTCTGTGATTCTGTGATTCTGTCTCTGTCCAGTAGCAGCACTTATTTGACTGACTTAAGGCTGGAACATCACTCACAAAACCCGCACCTGCACCATGCCATCTTAATCTGTCATATTTATCAAATTTCTCTATATAAGTCTGAATATATAATATACAGACTCATTGCTCCCCTGCTAGTATCAGGAGGAAGCCTGGCATCATTCTTTCTATGTGGTTTCTATTTTAAGAAAGGCTGAGGGTTGTTTCAGCAGTGTTATGACACCAGTGTCCAGAGCTGATTTAAGGTAAAGAAATAGAAGCAGACATGCAAAACCATCCATATACTTCTGGAAACAGTAAAGAGTCCAAGAAATCAAAAGTGTGCATGTGATGGGGAGGGCTTTTTTTAATAAAACATGAAAATTAGTAGGTCTATTGAATCTACCTCAATATTGAGAATTTTGGCAGAGTCTGCTTGGTGCAGCCAGAGTGCTGACTGTTACAGATAGAAAAGAAAGAAATCTACTAGAAAATAGAGGAATGAAAAATATTGAGGGAAATTGTACTAAGGGAAGAGACAAACATTTCAGAAAAATGAGGAAGAGTCACGACTCCAGGCAATGATGGTGGTGGCTGAAGGGACAGCAGCCCCCCCAACACTCCTACAGAAAGCACCATCGTGGCCATAGCTGTGATTAGTGTCAGAATGGTTTTTCAGCCTGTGCAGACTAAAAAGCCATTTGCAGACCAAGCTGTCTCTTGGGTAGAAGTATTTAAAGACATAAGAGTAAACAGAAGATATACAGAATGAAGTCTATGTTATGCCTTGCCTTGTTATATAGCAAAGAGATATGCTAACCTCTATACTGCCGGCCTTGGGTATGTAGTGAATGGTGTGTCCATTTCAAGTCTCAGAACAAAGTTAATTTAAGTGACTAAGTTCTGTAAGTGTTCTGAGTTCTGNGAAAAAATAATACAAAATACTGTCAGACAAGAAAGTAAGCAGAAAAATTGCACATGAAATTATAAGGTGCATAGATCGGTATAATTTGATAGGAGTATTATATACAAATACTGAAGGTTTTACTTTTCTTCTTTTTACACAACATTGCAGACACAAAACCCTCACTGTGTTCAAAGTAATAGCCATTACAGGATATTTGTTTTGATTTTAGGACCATGCAGACAAATGATCCATAATCAAATTTTAGGTACTTCTTGCCCCCTTGCTTCAAAAGGCCAGTCCCCAGGATGGCACCTATTCAGATGATAATACATCATTGTAAGAGTGCTCTGATCTTGAGCTAATGCTGGCTAGTACGAAAAGCTTGTTGCAGGAAATGTGTCCCTGAAATTTCATTTTAACATTGCTGATTTCTGTTGTGATAAGTTATTAAATATTGATTATCAATGTTCCTCCCTTTTTACAGTGAAATTCGTAATCTTAGAAACTTGGATTACATAGATCCAGATGCCTTTAAGAACCTCCCACTTTTGAAATACCTGTAAGTATTTAGCACCTGTATGTGGTGGTTTGTATAAATTTCCTGAAATATTGGTACTTAAATCTCACAAATGACTCTTTACATTATAGCAGTTTTGTAAGTTTGCATTTGATTTTGGAACTGATTGCTGTGTTTTTCTCTGTTGCTTTATTCCAAGGACAAAGCCAGCAAGGATAGGGGTTGGAACTCTTACTACTTTTGTGAGAAAGGAAAACATGTTCACAAATTCATCAGTAGTTTTCCCATTTGTCATATCCATTAAATATCTAGAATACACTAATATTCCTTGACAAAATTCCACAGCTAGCTCTTTTCTTATGCTAAGTGCTGTCTTACTCTATTTTTGTAGGAAACAGTGGGAAGAAGGGACACAACAGATATATACACATCTTTGGTATTCACTAGACATTTGCACAGGGTTTTAAAGCACACCTGTCAGCCAAATGTGAATAGCTCGCCTATAGACACCTGATTTCACATGACCTCTATGGCAGAAAAATCCTGAAAATTTCCCATGATTTTCTAAAGAAACTTCTGTGATTTTGAGTAATATTTGGAAGTAAAGCTTCTGTGTGCGTGTGGTGGGGGCAGTGGCAAGGAGGAGAGATTTGTCCAGGTTTTTCCTATAGATGTGAAAGCAATAAAAAAGAAAGAAGTAAGAAATTCCATTTCAGGAGAATAGTTTTAAAAATGAAAAACTACAGTTATTTTCACTCTACAGGAGTTCATAAAGAAGGGACTTTATGCATTTCACATTTTAAGACAGTTTCCCTTTTTAGAGCTTTATGAACAGCTCTTAGCCTCAGTGAAAGATAGAGGATTCAGGGGTCCAGACTATTAACTGAAGCAGCCTTAATTTGTCAAGTTAAAACAAACCAGAGTTTTAACTATTTCCTTCCTATCAACCTCACAAGATGCTTCCCTCTGCAGAGCTGCCTGCCTGTCTTATTAGTCTATGTTCTCATTTTTTAGATTCTGTAATTTATCGTAAGTCTGGTATTTTGAATTTTTTATATTGTTCTTGCATTCTTCTGTTTTGGATAGTTGAATATAAAGGATTTGATTGACAATAGAGAGGATGCAATATCCATCCTGCCTGTTGAACACTTTAAATACATTGTTCATTGTTGTTCAGTGATGCAGTAATTCTTTCTGTTTCTCCTCTCTTTCAGTGGTATTTTTAATACTGGACTCAAAGTTTTTCCAGATCTCAACAAAATCTATTCATTTGATGTGAATTTTTTGCTGTAAGTATCTGTCCTCACAGCTGGTTTGAATACTGGCATCCTCAGACCACATGAAAATGTATAATGAGGGTTTCTGGTTTTGAGAAAAATATCATTTAAGTTTGACAAAGCAGTTTTCCTCAAGCAATAGTTCAATGATCATTAGCACCAAGTCACCTAACATTTGACCCGAATTAGAGACATGGACACACAGCACATTCATGATGCACAGCTTCTAAAGGCCCTTTGCTTTTATTTTGTTCTTGGTTTTGCAATGGCTGTGCAATACCTGAATTAATATGAAGTCAGAATATTGTGACACACGGGATCTAGCTGGTGTACATCCTGCTAACATCAAGTCATCCTATCAAAATTCTAACAAATTTGTGTTGGCATGGTGAAGCAAACTGTGGAACAATTTCTTGGAGAATGGGAATGCAAAGGGGGACAAGGAGGTTTCCCACTATTTTCCTTATAAGAATTTCAGAAACAAAGAGTTCTGCTTTGAATTCTAAAAATATGCAGGAGTTTCTTGGTATTTAAAAAGCACAGACAGCATCCATCTGTGTTAATCTAAGTCAGAATTTTGGGTTGTAATCAAGCTGAGGAGGAAGAATAGCTCAGATGAAGACTTGCAGGATGACACAAGGTAAAAGTGTCTTCTTGGTCCCAGAGAGGAGTTAGAAATCTTATATTGTAGCAGTTTTCAGCTGGAAGAGGCTTGAATGGTGGATGGGCTAGGCAAAAGGCAATTAAAAATAAGAAGTGTTATGTTAGAAGGTGATTTGCAAAGTTGTGATTGATGATCTACTGCAGGCCTTGTTTCAGTGCTGCTAAGCAGTGTTTTTGGTCAAGAAGGGTCAGTTCCCACTGCATTCATGGTCTGCCACTGGCAAGATGAACCTCAGAGCAATAGAGAAATGCTGCTTGTTCTGCTAAAAAGTGTAGACCTGCAGGAAACAATGAGATCTTCCAAGGATCTTCTGAGAGATAAGCTTTGTTCTAACACACATTCACCTTGGCTGTAGGATTCCAAGACTGAAACCTGAGTCAGTCAGAGCTCTGAATGAGATATAATTACATCTTAAGAACTATTAGGGAGACTCCCAAAAACTAGAAGGGCTCCAGCTTAGACTGAAAACTCTGTTAGATCTACTTCTACATAGCAGAGAGAACCAAGAATGGAACAGGCTAGATGAAACAAAGCAGTTTATACAACCATGTGTGTTCTTCCAACTAACTCAGTGCCTTTCTAACTGGCAGAAAGACAAACATTGTTTTACTTCTGCCTTGATATTTTTTTTAATAGCAATAACTAACAAAAGATAAATATAGGTCTTATATGCTGCATAGAGTTTTTAAATAATAGATTCATTTTCGAGGAAGATAGCTCTATGATATGTATTTCTCAATACTGCTATTCAATGAAAGACTTTTTGTTTATTCCATCAAGAAAAGAAATGCTCTTGAAAAATAATAGATTTCTAAATAATGAAAAAGGTATAGCTGGGGGAAACCCATTATATTACTATTTGCCTTTGAGGTCAAGCAACTTACAAGTAAACATTTAGAAAAAATGAACCAATCTGCAAAATGTCAAGCCCAAATAACTTGTGGTGGAAACCACCTATCAGTGAAAATTACTTGGAATGAAAATCGTTGTGGTACTGTTCAGTGTTAGCACATATATATGCATAAATGTAGCACAGAAAAGAAATGAAGTTATTTCTGGCACATGGGGAATTGTTAGGACTTCTCAGCCCATGGACTTTATGAGTGGGCCTTATATTAGGCCGTACCTAATCTGCAAGATGAAGAAAAAGAAAACTTTGCACAATATTTTCATTTCTAGATTATTATATTATTCAGGAAAAATCAGGAAAAGGGCAATCAAAGACTTTGCTCTGCCCTTTGTTTCTACCAGATTTTTCGTCTCTCCTTTCTCCAGTTTAGTAACAGTAAATCTCTTTAGCTTTCCTTTCTTCCTTTTGTTACAACAGAATTTTGGTCTGAAGATACATAGTACTTATTAAGACGGCAGAGTAGCAGTAAAAAAAGTATTTAAGAAATGAATAGTGAAACATTCCTTTGGACAAGAGGTGAGAAGAATTGGTAAGTTACTTCACTTACTGGTGAAAGAGATGTGCTAGATGCACTTCTGTAAAGTAAAATGCCTCTGTCCTGAATAATATGTTATATTGGATATCTTATCTGAATTTAGAGAGCAGGATTTCAGCTCTAAAGCCACGTGGGTTTTTCAATTGACACTGTAGCTAATTCTTACTCACTCTGCCTATTCTCTGGCTCATGAGACCAGGGACCGGTCTGTGCCACTAGCCACTATATCATCACACAGGTTATACCTCACCAGAACTACAAAATCCATTTACCTCATGAGCTGTCTTTCTGGATGCGGGAATATGCTCAATCCTTCATCCTACATGTATTTTCTGACCTTAGCTATAATTAAACATGTTATTATTTTTAAATTATGTATTTGAATGAATGAATGTAAGTTTATAATATAATAAATATGAAAATGTTACTTATTTTATAATATATTAATATTAAAATACATTAAAATTAATTTACATAAATAATTATGTTTTAAACTTTGATTTATTATCAAGGCAGAGAACAATTAATAAGAAAGCTTTTCTCCAGACACTCTGTTGGGCAAATGTTTGATTGAGATGTTTTGTCTCCTTTTTCAGTGAAGTTGCAGATAATCCTTATATGACTTCAGTGCCTGCAAATGCTTTCCATGGGCTTTGTAATGAATCTCTAACCCTGTAAGTTCTTCCAGTTTAAGTCACAAGGCAATTACCTCTCTGGTAATGCATATGGTAAAATGTTTAAAAATAAAATTATTCCTGTCCTACTCTCTAGTAGTTTGCAACAGAGAAACACCACAGACAATATCTATATTCTAGTTTGCATAAATTCTGAACTTTTACAGCTATTTGAATCAGTCCTGCTCTTTCCTTTAAACTGGCTTGACTATAGTGGTTTTGTTTTTCTATGACCCTAGTGCCAATGAATGTTTATATTTGAAAATAAATCAAAGGAGGAAGCCTGCAAAGTTGTCCCCCTGTAAAGCTACAGCAGGGTTATAACTGTGCCTAACTTTTTTTCGACCTGAGTGGTGCATACCATGGAAACTAATGGATGGCAAACATCAGAAGAGTCATATTTGAAAGAAAAATTGTTAAATAAAGTTCAGTTATGCAAGTCAGTCAATGTGAGCCACAAGAAAGGGCTGATGGGAGTGAAATTACTGCAATGAGTTATGACCTGACCTGGGAGGAAGAGCATTAGAACGTGAACAGATGAATTCTAAAGAAATTCTAAAAAAAATCCTTTTTCTCTAAGGGAGTAAAATAATGAATTCTAAAAATTTAAGGCATGCCTGATAGTAAAAGCAGACCTTTTTTCTAGTTGTTAGTTCCTTTAGCCTTCCTTAATCAGTCCTAGCAGAATTTTGTTTCCTTGCTTTTAGTTTAAGTGTGGGAAAATTATAGCGAAGTGGTTTAGTTTATCATTTCTGTAAAAATAGGTAGATGGCACACCTACCACATGGTATCCTTGATTCAGGTGCACTCAGGAATGCTTCTGGGCATTTGTTTGACCTGGCACAGTAACTACTGCTTCTTCATGAGATTAAAATTAACCCATTCATAAATGTGCTGTTGCAAAGAAAAATGATGCATAAGATGTTAGGTATTCATATATTGAAGCAGCCCGAAATACACTGATGTAATTTCTTTTTTGTTTGCAGTAAACTCTACAATAATGGTTTTACCAGTATTCAAGGCCATGCTTTTAATGGGACAAATCTGGATGCTATGTAAGTAGCAGGTAATTCTCTTCTTTCAGAAGAAAAACCCCAAACGTCTCTGCTTATTTGAGGCTCTGAAATATGTATTTTAATTATTTTTAAGGAGGAAAGAGAGGATGTTAATTTCAGCCAGCAATAACAATATCATTGCTTAATGTCTTTTGCAGTGTGCTTTCATTTAGTATGTATATTTATAGCTCAGAAATAAAATCATGGCAAGTAATCCCATTGTGAGTTTTATTCTGGTTTGAAGCTACAGTAAAACTTTTGATCAGTAACAATTTGGGAGATAATTATGCTTTTCCTTTTTTACAAGACTGTTTTAGTAAGTGTAGGACTGATGGTAGCAGTTCTTTCACAGGTATCTCTTACCTGTAAAAAAGGGAGTGGAGTAAGGTGCAGGGAGCAATTCAGAGGAACCAGCCACTTACACTGGAAATGAAATGCACATCTCAAAAGCATGAACCAACCATTTCATATTTCCCTGCAACTTCTTATTGAATTTTATAAAAAAATAATATTTATTGAGTGAATATCCTTTTTACACCATACCCAAAATCATCTGCCTCAATCATTAAGAGTGAATAAATCTGAATTCTAGAGACTCCATTCATTTTGCAGAGCTTACTCTTGCCTACAGAGGCTTGACCAAAGAGTCTGTCACTCATGAGTAAAGAGATTTCTTCATAGTGGGCTCTTAAATTAACCAGAGAGATATGAGGATAGATATTATTATTTTTAGTACTTTATTTTAAATTAGGCTTAAATTCTATAAGAATTCCATAAGAGCATCCTTCACAAGGTCCTAATCTTCCCAAACTGCCTATTTTAGCTTAGCAGCTAGCTAGATTTCTTAAAGTCTGAGAGGTTTGAATTAAACCAAAGATCTGGAATAGATCTGATTTTATTCACATTATTTCAGTTACTTTAAGCTTTCACATGAAAAAGGAAGTTTTCCATGAGGACACAGTGTTTGTACTAGTGCCCACAGAAATTGCAAGATACAAAATATGGCAAAATAAAGCCAATGTCTTGACTGAATGCCTCTAAGCTGCATGTAGCAATACCTTCCAAGCCTTAGCCAATATATGAACTGTGTTGTCTCTTCCATTTCTTATATTTTGACAAAACATGGGTTGCACATTTTTGAAGCAATTTTTCCTTATGCTTCTCTCATCGTATGCAGGTGCTATTGCTTCTGTCCTCTTTAGAATTCTTCTTATCATTATTAAAGAATCAAATGAAAATGTAGTTTTAGAAGATCTGAAGTCCTAAACATCTACTTTATTGAATTGGGAAGTAGAGGAGCAGACAGCATATACTAGCCTCTGTAGACACTGCTTATTTTTAGGAAAAAAAAATAATTGTAATTAGTACTCTTTAAAAAGATATTTTTTAAGGCCAAGAGACAGAGATATCTAGACAGACTTGAGAGCTGGGCAATCACCACCTATATGAAATTCAACGAGAACAATTGCTGGATTCTCCATCTGGCACGGTGTAATCCCGGTTCTACATTACAAAGTGGGAGGCTGAAGAGCAGCCCCACAGAAGTAGATCTGAGGATCCTGGTCACTGGCCAGCTGAATCTCAGCCAGCAGTGCCCTGGCAGCCAGGAGGGCCACTCGTGTCCTGGGGGGCATCAGCCACAGCATGGCCAGCCAGGCAAGGGAGGGGATTGTCCTGCTCTGCTCTGAGCTGGGGCAGCCTCACCTCCAGTGCTGGGGGCAGCTTTGGGAGCCACAATATGAGCAAGAAATCAAACCCTTCAGTGTGGCCAAAGGAGAGCAGTCAAGATGGTGAAAGGCCTTGAGGGCAAGACTTAAGAGGAGTGGCTGTGGTAACCTGTCCTGCCCAGCATGGAGAAGGGCAGCATGAGGGGGAGACCTCCTGGCAGCCCACAGCTCCCTCAAGGGGGGCACTGGAGGGGCAGGTGCTGATCTCTGGTGACCAGTGATGGGACACAATGGAACAGAATGGACCTGCGTCAGGGGAAGTTCAACTGCACCTTAGGTGAAGGTTCTTCACCCAGAGGGTGGTCAGTCACCGGAACAAGCCCCCAGGGGAGTGGTGACAGCATCAAGACTGTCAGAGTTCAAACTGCATCTGGATGATGGTGAGAGTCACGATTTTGTTCTTCGTTGTCCTGCAAGGACTAGGGAGTTGGATGCCATGATGCTTATGGGTCCCTTCCAACCTGATATGTTCTATAATTTATGATCCTAAGTGAATCCTACCAGAGACTGGCTATGATGCACTAGTCAATCAAATTTAAAAAGAAAAAAATAAACCAAAACAAAACAGCAACAAAAAACCAACAGAATAACTAAAACTAGATTTATGTTCATGGGTTTATCTACCAGCAGTAAAAATGGTTTATTACAACAAACACTTTTCTCCTAATTAAATCATATGACATTTACTTGGAGCAGAGCACTACTCCAGGTGTACAAGGCAAACTGGGGAGTTGAACATGAGCAGTAAAGCGTTTATCTTTTTGATAAACTACACTGAAATGTCTAAACTAATTTTCTGAAGTAGTTTGGTTACCATATGACAGGATAAAGTATAATTTTGCTAAGTGCAAGCTTGGAAATTTGTTGTTTCTAGCAGTGACATTAAGTTTATGTAAGAGGCAAATATTTAATTTTCTCTATTCTGACAACTCTAATTTGAACTCCTGTTTATCTACCACTGTATAGTGAAGGAAGTACCAGTTTTTCTCCGGGTCTGATCCAAGAGCATTTGAATATAACAAAAATAGGAGCAAAAATAAACGAATAAAAAAAGGGTGAGGGAAATTTGAATGTGTTTTGAATGATTATCTCAAGGACTAAAAATAAGTAACAAAGCAAAACAATCAAAAACAATAGTAAATTTTTGGCAAATTATTCAAAGACTTCATGTCCCATCCATAAATCAGAAGACGTTTTGGGAATCTCAGAGGTTATCTTCTACTATGCATTATGCTTCTCTACCACTCTTGCAGTATTAAAACACCTATGTAATTAAAGGGGGACAAAAAAATTAATGCAGGTATAGGTGAAAAAACATGGATTAAGGATTTCCATTATCATATTGAATAAAAGCACTAACTAGTTGATTTTGTCATCCAACAAGGACTGGTGTTTAACAGCAAACCACAGTACTGCTGTGTAAGTTTTATAAGGGCAGGGAATTATGGAATCAGAAACGAAGGGCTGAATGACACTTTTACTGAAAAGCATTCATCTGATAATTGAATCTCTCATCTTAACCCATCATTGATGTCCATAAACTGCATCACTCCTGCAGAGTAGTGCTGCTGCACAAATGTTTATTTCTGTAAGGTAATTGGTGAGGAAAGAAGAGTTTTTAAAATATATTTTCAGTGAATGGCAAAATATATTTGCGACGAGCTTTTACAGATTTAATTTACTGAAGTGGAAAGTGTGTGATCTCAAAATCTAATCACAAAAATAAACTCCACAAGGATATATTTACTTTAGTATACACTTTCAGGGTTCACTTATAGTGCTTGGCACAGCTTAGAGTTAAGATAAACAATTGTATGGAAAAATCGTATGATGAATCCTTAGTACTGCTCACTTACCAATGCATCTTTTTCGCCCGTTCTCCCTTTCTGTAACTTTCATTTCATAGTCCAGCTGGATGCATATGTTTTACATAGCACTTGAGATGTTAGTATTTCGTGCCTTCAGAAGGTCCTGCTCAGCACACTGCAGTCATGGTGCTTTCTGGTGTAGTTGAGGCTTAGTGCAAAATTCTCCTCCCTTACTCCTGAGTCCGTATAGACTGTTAGACACGAGTAGAGGTGGTTTGCTGCTCTGACTGGATTGAAAAATGTGAACAAGCGCCTTCATTTACTTACAGCACTACACAAACATTAGCATCTCCTATTTCAGATTCTGCACTTACTACTACAGATTTCCTGTGGTTTGCATTGGGGTATTCATGTGTATCTGACTGCCATCCACCAACTCTCCAAAGTTACAATTATTCTAGTCTCCCCACTGAGGCTAGATATTACACATCAACTATGTGATTTCCAAAACTTCTAAGATTTGTTTAGATGTGTTGATACCACCGTTGTGATTTTCTCTTCTGCAAGGAATTTAAATGACATTCTGTATCATTTAGCTATCGGTAACAACAGGATTAATGGCGCTTTCAGAAGAAACTGATTCTACATAAGATTTCTTTGTCAACTTAGTATTTACCAAAGCTTTATTCTTTCCATTTAAAAGCAGTACCTACCAAAAGAAAAGGGCTTAAACAACTGAAATCAATTAGCATCAGGAAATTGTACATTCTGATAGGCCTGACTCATTGATGTGAAAACTGGCAGCTACATCACAGCCCCTCCTTAGTAACACATGGTTCTGTACTTCCCAAAGTCTCTAGCTGTTTCTATTTGTAACTTTGAAGATCCTTATCAGCTATATTAGCTATTATATTTCAGATTTATTAGTCACTATGGTACTCAAACATCAGGAGAAAATATTTCAAAATTGGACAAGCAATTCACTGGTTGTATAATGGTGTCTAGTTACTAAAGCAGACGGGTTTTACTAGGTTAAGCAGGTTTTTGTGTCCTTCAACACTACAATCTAGATGTTGAAATCTTGGATTGATTCTTAGCAGTTGCTCTGGTTTTAATTTTTGTATTCATTTTCCAGACAAAATTATAAGGAGATTTTCACACTAAAGGAAATGTTCACAACAATAGTGTGCCATTTACAGAATATGAAAATCAGTTCTCAGAAAACACCAGGTGATGATAGAATGCCATATGTCTATAAAGAATTAAAGCTTATTTCAAACAACAGCTGAGAAGGAGATGTAAACTATTTTCCTCTGTAAGAAACAAGGCTTAAGGCATGAGTAATGTCCAATGAATAACATGCTAGAAGCATTATTTGGCTCCTTTTCTGTTGTGTAACCCAGATGAAGTGCATTTACTTTTCATTTCTCACTATGATGATCAATATAAGCTTGTATCCAGTAAATGTTATGAAAAATTTGCCAATGACTTCAACCAGGATAGGATTAGAATCTTTACTTAATTTTTTCCACACCACGGCTTGCCAGCTGGGCAAGGGAAGGGATTGTCCTACTCTGCTCTGCACTGGTGTGGCCTCACTATGAGTAGTTCTGGTCACAATGTCAGAAAGATAATAAACTATTAGAGAGTGTCCAAAGGAGGGCTGGATGGTGAAGGGCCTTGAGGGAAGGGGGAAGAACAACCGAAGGCAACATGGTGTGTTCAGCCTGGAGGAGACTGAGGGGAGACCTCATTGCAGGTACAGCTTCCTTGTCAGGGGAAGAGAAAGACACTGATTTCTTCTCTGTGGTACCCAATGACAGGACCTGAGGGAATGGCCTGAACTTGTGTCATAGAGGTTAGGGTTAGATATTAGAAAAGGTTTTTCACCCACAGGGTGGTTGGGCACTGGAATAGGCTCCCCAGGGCAGTGGTCACAGCACCAAGGCTGACAGAATTCTGTAAGTGTTTAGAGAACACTCTCAGGCACATGGTGTGACTCTTGGGGCTGTTCTTTGCAAGACCACGAGTTGGATTTTGATGATCCTTGTGGGTCCCTTCCAACTCAGAATGTTCTGTGACACTGTGAACTTCACAGACACCCTCTGGCATCTGTTGTGACCACCCTCCTATTGCACTTCTTACCTTACTACCTACACCACAAGCTAGCTTGTAAATGTTTATAATGGGGCATCAAACATCCCACTCTTTCCTTGCTCTTCTTACAACAAAACTTCGATCTTAAATTTTGGCCTGTGTATAGAAAACTTTACTTGACTATTGAGATTTTTACGCATTTAAATATTTTATTGAACTCACAACATAGGGGAAATAGTGCTTCCTGTTTTTTCATGTGTTCCATCATGTAATTCCCCATACTCCATTCTGACAAAAGAAAACAAAACTATTTCACCTTATCCTCACACATATGTACTTGAAGATACAGTGTCTATACATGTGCCCCTATGAGAAAAAAAATTGGAACAAAGATAATAAATAAATTAGCAAAATAAAGTATTTGTTGAGGAATTTAATTACTTTTCAAAATGCAAAACCTCTATTTTGTTTCTTGGGTACACCGAAAATGAAGTAACTGATTATGCTTCAATATGTGGTTGGGAATGGATGGCCTTTATACATTTTGTTTTTGTACATCTATGCAGGCAAGTAAACTCGAAATCTTCAGTAACCTATGGATAACTACTTCCAAATCACTGTATTTTGTTTGTTTCTGCAGCTATCTGCACAAGAACAAGTACCTCAAAGTTATCAATGATGATGCATTTCTGGGAGTGCACAGTGGACCAACTCTACTGTAAGTAGCTAAAAATAAGATAAGAAAGAAAAATAATACTGTTTTAGTTTACAATTTCTTAACAACAATTAGTATCAGAGCAGCAGGGACAGGAATGGCATGTTTACAAAATTAATACCAGCAACAAAACTTGTGCTTTAGGGAACTGACTTTTGAAATGCTTGCATCCTACATTACATATACTGTTCCTACCAATTTTTCTTATGGAAGATTCTTCTACTACAACCTGTCTTATGGCTTTTATGTACAAAAAAAAATTGTAATACAAAAGAAGGACTCTTGTACCACATATGTAATGGAAATTGAAAGAGAGGAAAAAATAATTTTAGACAGAAAAATAGTTCTGATGCTCTTCTTTTTTCTCATGTTATTTGGCTTTCAGCCTGTTATAATCGTCCAAAGAATTTTTCATTAAAATTAGGAATAATACAGAATGAAAATAAAACTTTAAAGAAGAACTTCCAGAAGAATCACATTCCCCCACTCAAATTGTCTAGTATGTAATGTAGTGCCTATGACTGATCACAAGGAGAACTGAAATGCTGAAAGGGGAATTTCTTCCTCCACTGCAAAACCAAATGATGCTGGTAGTGCTCAGTTCATGTAAGAACAAGTTTTACTTTCTGCTCTTTAGGAAAACAGCTTATTCATACCAGAATAACTGTATTTTTCTTGGAAGGAATCCTAGCAGCTACCTGCAATAACAAAAGGTGCAGAAGTAATTGTTTTTCTTTTAGAATATTTTCAACTCTGGAAAATCGGTCTGGCTCTAGCAGGTGAGAGCTTGCAGAAGCACAGACTTTTGACTTTTGATTATTGTGGGTATTTAAAGTGTCAGTGTTGTTGTTATGGTGACAGTAAACAAGTAATGTTTATGCTGCAATATGCTGCAAAAGGTTGCAAAAATTGTATGCTGTAAGAGCCAGGTAAGCTTCCTGAGCAAAGGCTAGCTTGGAGATGTGTCAGCTACACGAAACCTCTTGGTTTAGGGGCTAGAGATGCTTTCCTAGGATGTGCATATCCAACTCTAAAGAACTCCCTTTTACCCTATTTTCAAGTTAGATATCTCAAATGACTTGAATTTTTTCTAGTCTTCCATAACTACTGTGCTAACCCAGATACCATTAATCCTTGATTTCAGGACATGTTTTATACTTGCAGTCTAAACATTCAGCTACCCATCTCCTCTTAGACTGCACCTTCACAGCTAATGTACTTTTAACTGAAGAGAGCAGTACTTTTAACTGAAGAGAGATGTGGTACTTACTATAGTGTCATTACAGAGAGAGGTATTGCTTCTCAAAGGCAGAAGGCCAGAAGTGGCATGTAAGCACAGTGAATCAACAGTGGATTTAAAAAGCCAGAGTATTTCATATCATGACACTTTCATATGCAAGTCCTAAGATAAAGTTCCTAGGATGGTGTCACAGTTTAACACTGGCCTGCACCTCAGCTCCACACAGCTGCATATTTGCCCCTGCACCCAATGGAATAAGGGAAAGAATTCGAAGGGTAAAAATGAGAATAAACATGGGTTGAGATAATGTCAACTTAATATTAAAAAAGAGATGTTGAGAAAAAAAATCAGAGGGGGAAGAAAACAAACCAAACCCAAGAACAACAAGTGATGTAACAAAAACAATTTCTCACCAGCTCATTGATTTCCAGCCAGTCCCCTGGCAATGGCAGTCCTGGCAAACATCCACCCAGTCTTTACTGCTAAGCATGATTTGATAAGGTCTAGAATATCTCTTGGTCAGCTGGGGTTGGCTGTCCTGGCTCTCCTCTCCCAAATTCTTATGCACCCTTAACCTCCTCGCTGGTCAGATGGTGTGAAAAACAAAAAATGCCTTGGCTGTGTGTAAGTACTGCCCAGGGCAGCTAAAATATTGCTGTATTATCAACATTATTTTCACTCCCAAATCAAAAACATAGCCCCATACTGTGAAGAAATTTATGCCAACCAAAATCAATACAAAATTAATAATTCAAGTTAGCTTTAATGTCTTTTTAATGTAATTTTAATAGAAGCTTAGAGGCTTGTGTTACCCACAGATAACCAGGAATTATTCTGCATGTGTGATGTAGAAAAGGTTTGCCATAAAATGAGCAACAATTTAAAGTGGAATCCTTCCACCTGGACAGTCACTCAGCTGATCATGTGAAACTAGAATTATTTTATCAGGAACAAAAGAGTTTCTGAAACTCCCACATTTGCATTACCTTAGGGGAGCTGAAGTAAAAAAATGAAAACTGAGTGAAAACCTAGTGTTTATGGTTGTGTTGTGTCAATGGTCATTAACACCTTGCACAGGAGAAAAAAATGTCCTTGCAATTGGTGCCTTAGTGTACACCCCCACTATACCATCATGACCAATGAGTTATTTACAGAAACCACTGATTTGTTAACTCATGTAACAGTCTGAAAAGTCTGACCAATACAACCCTTCCATATTCCCTTGGGCAGTGTAAACAACTTAGCTTGTTATAAGGAATAGTTTGTTAAGTCATTTTTGGATCAGGCACTTTGGTGTTGTTAGCTGACCATTCAATCTTCCTCAAAATAAAATTTTACTTCCAAACGTTTTCATCGTGAAAATTAATTCTATGGAAAATGATAGTGAGATTACTGCTTTTTTTTTTTTTTTTTCTGGGACAATGAATACAACTGCTTATCATGGTAGCAGTATGCACAAAAAAAATTTAAAAATTTCAGAAAAGGAACATTTATGGAGCTCTAAAGAGAAATTCTGTCTTGCCTCCCTACCAAGCTGGTAGGGAGTTCTGCCTGTTATTTATTGTCTGGAGTTCCCTATGTGCACTCTTCAAGTGAGGTAAGAATTTATGGTAGTTGGAACATGTGACCCACAGATAGTGCTTTTTTTCTGATTAGGATTTCAGCAGCAACAGCAATTTAAAAGCTGAAATACAGGCCATGGATCCACCCTAATGGGGTAATGTTCCATTCCACCTTTAAAGAAACCCAATGAGAAAGATTTAACTGCAAGGAATTGTGCCTGATTATATGTTGTGTGAGTTTGGCCATGGTCTCAGACCACATAATTAAACGTAAGTATTGAAAAGCTAGGTAATTTTTTCAAATATGTTTTTTTCAAATATGCAGTTTACATCAGCAGAGGAAGCAGGGACTGTGATCACTAAATAGAGGAAAACAGATGTCAGCAATTCTAGTTCCTTTGTCACTGTTGTATACTCAGATGTATGTGGATGCATACACAGATTACTCCCTTTAGAAAACTATTTTAAGAGTATGATGACAGTACATTGCTCTTCTCAAAATGAAACCTTGGCAAGGATTCAGCAACTCAGTGGACCTGACATGCGACAAGAGCTGCTGCCTAGAGCAAAAGTTCAACAGAGTGTAACAAAAATACAATCAGGCTCATTATCCCATTAGCTTTTACAAAGCACACAGTACAAACTGACAATGTTACAGGCACACACGATACATGTGAGTAGTTAATTATCTGCAGAATGCAGAATGCTCTTTAAAGCATCATTTCCTAATCTAGGAATGGTTTCTCCCATGGACACAAGCAAGTCTTTGAGCAAGAGGAGCACTCTATATTTTGCTAATCAAACGATGCTAATTTTTAGATTTAAAAAGTCTTTCAATAGAGTTAAAATACTATCTGCAGTCGATCTATTTTATATTTTACGCTTTATCTATTCCAGTACTCAGAAATTTGTATATGATTAGGTAAAAATTCTCAGTTGTATTATGATGTATTCAATCTCATTTTCTTACCTCTCTTTTAAATTATTGTTATTACTGGATTGCATACAATTGCATGCTTCCAACAATGAAAAGGATTATTGACAAAAGCTATTATCACTTAGATCTAGTTCTGAAATACTGACTTCATAAAACCAACAAAGAATTAGACCAAATTATAATAACTCAGTTAAAAAAAAATCGGAGCAACTGAATAGCTGTTTAACACTTCTGTAATATACAGGTGGTTTGGAAGACAACACCTCTGAATTCATAAGCTATATTTTATTCCCACATTTATCTGAACCTCTCCAATGTCTCTTTAACATTCATTATAATGTGTAAATTTCAGCTGAGATAAGCAACAGCCTAGAAACGTCACATGAGATTTATAAGAAAATATGTGAGGACAAATCAGAACTGCTACCAAACCCAAATGTTGGGACTGGTTGAGAGCACTTTGATTGCTGTTCAGTCTCACAGTGTAGAACTCTACACCACCATTCCCAGTACCTGAGTGGGCTCTAGACCATGGCTACTTAAAACCTGAAGTCTGGTCTGGCTCTAGGCTAGCTGTGAATGCTGCTAGCCTTTTCCATAATCCTGAGCATTTAACACTTTCCACAAGAGTGTGTCTGCCTGGTTTCTGTCTCAGCCTTGTGGGCATTTGTCAAAGGCCTTGTAGAAGTCCTAGGAGACTTTGAGCAGATCATAAACACAACACTCAGAGAAGTTTGCAAGGCAGGACTTAGTTTTACAAAAGCCCCTCACATGCTGACTTTCCCCAGGTATATCATATTTGGTGGTGGCTTGTTTGCTGCCTTTCTGCAGGAGAGCAAAGCTGAAGGTTCCACTATTCTTTTACCATTCAACTACTTCCTCCTTCAGCTGCTTCACAACTTTTCTGGTGAAAACCACCCACTCCTTGTGACTTATTATCATTCATTTTATCAGTTTCCTGCCTAGCCTCTTATAGTCACTCCAGTTTGAGACAGATCCTCTTGACAAGTCCATCAGACCTCCTGCCCATTCTCTTGTGTTTCTTTAATGGTGCAAACTGTAGCTCAGCAGTGCTAGCAAGACACTCTTCCATGCAATGTACTGCTGTGTTTAAACATCATCTTAGTTATCAATATGATTAGATGTTAATGAGACAGACATAACTGCAGTCAGTTCCTATTTTTCTCAGCAGACCAAAATCAGGACTGATCATCTTTGACTGATTTGGGACTGACCATACTTGGCTGATCAGGGCTTGGTAAGAAGCAACAAGACAAGAGGAAATCGCCTCAAGTTGTGCCAGGGGAGGTTTAGATTGGATATTAGGGAATTTTTTTCATGGAAAGACTTGTAAAGCATTGGAATAGGGTGCCCAGGGAAGTGGTGGAGTCACGGTCCCTGAAAGTGTTAAAAAAATGTGTGGATATGGCACTTGTGAACATGGTGAGTGCTAGACTGATGGTTGGATTGATAATCTTAAAGGTCTTTTCCAACCTTAATGATTCTATGCACTAGCACACAAAGCAAAAATTCAGGAAAATGTGTCTTCTATATGAATGCAGGCACAGACATTATAGTCTTGACAACTCCAACTACTTGGATTCACATGGCTCTGAGGATTATTAATTATTTCTAAATCTTTTCAATCTAGTTTGAAGACACCTGCTATGCTGCTTGAAGTAGATTGTGAATCTGATTAGATACTCAAGACTAGATTTGTAAGGTAAAAAATCCCTGAGAATCCCACACTCTCCTCTTGGCCAGCTGACACACAGAGCAAAGTGTGGCCTAGGTAGAGCAACTAAGAAATTATCTTCCATTGAGAGACAAATTATGACCAGACTGCCAGGAAGCTTTTTGATTTGCAATAGCAGTGGTACAGAGAGGTCACAAGACTTCTTGCTGGTAGACACCCTATACCAGCAGTTTAGGGACTTCCCAAACTGGGATTTTGGAAACTTCCAAGCCAGTGTGTTTAAGATGGCACGTGGATGGGAAAAGTCTATCCCTAGCCCTACACCAGAATTAGTCCTAAATCAACAAGAACTTCAAGGCATCTGCTCCTGTAACTTTCCCCCAAACTCCCCAGTATAAAACAGAGTGTTTGAAAACAAAACCTACAAGACCTGTCTGCTTAAATATACACCCATAGGCAAATACATAAAAGAATTCACAGGATTTGGTAAGAGAACAGTAATGACATAGTCTTACAACTAATTCTTCCAAGACCTTTCTTTTCACTGAACAGAAGTTTCTTTCAGACTTTTAAACATCACTTGGTAACATTTTGAGTTGCCACAGGCCTTGCATATTCACCTCTGCTGCCTGAGAAATTGTTTCCACAACTGGAGCCCTGGGCTGCTACTCCCTTCTGTTCACAGCTCTTCAGGAGCTGCAGCTCCATGCCCTGTACATCCAGAGAAGCTCCTCTCAGCAGCTGTTTCCAAAGCATGAGCCCTTGTTCCCCAGGGTGTTCTTGCTGACCCAGACATTTCTGATGGGAATGTTACACAACACCAAATAAAACCAAGCCAAAAAGGTATATTGACCTTCTTGTTACTCAGCTTTTTGGCCTACATGATGAACCACAGCACTGATTTTCACAATGATGCAGTTGTGTGAAAAATTATGCCTTCTCTTATTTTTAAGTCTCTTGCCTCATATTCTTAAGTGTTTCAAAACTCATGCCACAAGAGTGAATTATCATTATCAATCACATTCTTTACAATCTGCATGGCACTATAGTCTACTACTGCTGCTTCCAGACATAGCTTTTCCCAAGAGAAGTCTTTATCTGTACCTTATTACTTAATATATAAACAACTTGATATTTTTATCATCCTAGCTGCAGCTCTTACATGCTCTTATTATAACTGCATATATTATTTTTAGAACTGTAGATAATATTTAAGTTAGTCATACTAGATTTACGAAGTGAAGTTTTTTGCTCTATTTTTTCCCAAGAACTCTTAGCATTCTATTTCCCTTCAACATTACTAAAAGCACTGACCTGACATTTGCAGAGGACTCCAGGAACTTTCCAGAGTGCTAGCTAAATTAAACCCCATTGTCATCCATGTAAAGTTAAAATTGCTTTTTCTCAAATATACTTTACATTCATTAATTTTGAAACATATTCGTTTTCTGCTCAGTCACGTACTATTACAAGAGACTTCTGCTTCTTGAGACAATCAGGTTTAGCTTTCACTACCTTGTATTACTTTTTGCCAGAAACAAGCTTTGTTGCAGCTACTCTCACTTCCTTCCCAGACTGTTTATGAGTATTTCAGCAGTACCAGTGCCAGCCTCACCTCTGTGGGCCCTGCTGCAATGACCTGTATATTCAGATACCAATTAACTTTCCATTCTTCCTTTAACATGAAATCTTGTCATCTGTTCTTAGGCTTTTACCCCACTCTTTTATTTTTCAATTAATCCAGGAGAGACATTCACCTTGTCACATAACAGATTAGTTACATCAACAGCCCTTGATACCTGATTTTGTCAAGGCTTGTCAGAATTCCCAATTCGTTGCACAAACAGGATCATCTTTCTCCATAAGCTTGTGCCAGGACATCTTCAAAGAACTCTCAAGTGTTTGTGAGTTGCAATTTCCCTCTCAAAGAGTCATAGCATCTCCCATCACAGAGTGTTTAACCTACCTGCAGATAGCTGCCACCACCATGAGGACCTGATGGAGACCCATGAGGGTTGCTGAAAGGCCAGCCTTGTCTTGGTAAAATCCAACCCAAGATCTAATTTACTTAGACGTTTTTCTGCAGAAGAAGAGTTCTATAAAATGTCTCCAAGGGGGAAAAGGACTTAGCAGGGCTTGTTATGGGAGTTTTGAACTACATTAGAAGGGCAATGGGGACACAGCCAGTCTCAACAGAGATAACGTGTGGAAAGGGGAGAGCTATAGCAACTACCCAGGGAGTAAAGGGAGACTTAAGAGGGGGCAACTCCAGTAACTACAAGTAAAGATATAACCACAAGAAAGGACTATAGAGCATCCCTTTGTACCCTCTCTGGGATATTGACACAATCAATACAAGCAACACAACAGAGCATAAATAGTCCAGGAGATTCCTGGAAAACAGTGATGACAACTTCCTGTCACAGGTAGTGGAGGATCCCACAGGACCAGGTGATATTCACCTGGCAGTCTGAAAGGAAAGCCACCTCCCCATCAACTGTGCATCATCTCTCTCATGAATTCACTTCAGCAGACGAGTAGAAAGCAACAAACATAATACTCAGTTTTCTGAGAGATTCAGGATGGACTAAGATAGATTTTAATTTCCCTATATAGACAATATTCTTTTAGGAATTGCAATGCTTTCTATTAAAGTATGCCAATAGGTTAAAATGAACCTAAAGAAATCTAAGGGAATATAACTTTTCCAATGGAAGATGTGATTTCTTTAAAGGATTTTTAAAATGGTATGTTTGCATATGCTTTTGTATCTGGTTGGCTTTAAAGGTGTAATTTTAGAAGTTATGATATTTCTTTATAATTCACATTCTATGCTATAAGACATTAAAGACAAGACCTTTAAAAGACAGTGAAAATCACAGAGAAATGAACAGCCTACTTGAATTTTAATGGTATCAGAACTTAGCAAGGCAATATGAAATCCCCACCTCCTTGGGAATTGATTTTTATTGTAGAATTCTGTGAAACTCCTGAAGAACTGTAAAAATCTGAAAAAAAATCTGATCTAGTCACCTTTTTCTTTCTTAGGGACGTCTCCAGAACAGCTGTTGCCAACCTTCCAGCCAAAGGATTAGAAAGCCTAAAAGAACTAATGGCCAAAAATACATGGACTTTAAAGAAATTACCAGCTGTAAAGGTATTTCTTCAGCTAATGCGAGCTGACCTATCATATCCAAGTCACTGCTGTGCTTTCAAGAGCTGGAAAAAAAAAAGTGGGTGAGTTTCACTAACTGGCATTTATTTTTTAAATATATCAGCAAAGACAATGTTTTATTAGTAATATAAAAATACACTTTTGTAACAATTTTTTCTAGGTATAGATAATATTCTTTGAAACAGATTACAATTGCAAACTGATAAAAGAATTTTTTTGTAGGACCTTTTGCAGCAAAGCTCTTACTGAGCCCAGAATTATAGAGAAAGAAAAGGGTAATGTGCTACAGCAAGGCCTGGAAAAAAAGCATTAGAGAGGTTATAGCCTCAAGCCTCATATTTTTTAACTGAAAAGCTGTTGACTACTGAAAATTTTTTGACTGTAAATACAACTGCATCACACCATGAGGTACAGGATTCCAAATTGCTGTACTGCTCATTGGCTTGTAAAGAAGCTACTGAACAGAAATTAGACTGATGGAAGTTCTGGGAGAAATTGAATAGTGAGCAATTCAGTGAAAAAGAAAGTAATACTGTATTTATTATCCAAGAAGCTATAAAGACTAGATAAGTGTCTTCTTACCCACTAAGATATAAATCTCAAAAAAGATGGATTATGGGTGCCAAACAACTAAAATTACTACTGGGGATAAAATTAAAAATACAGTTACAAAAAAAGCCCAGAAATGCTATTGTACATTATATGGTTAACAAAAATATATCCAATCAAGTTTTTATAGCTACATTTTCATTCAGGATGATTTGCTTTTGAAGCCTTCCCTTGGTTCAGATGCTGTGCACCAGTCAGATTGTAAATGCCAGCAGTGATTTTCCCCTCTACTCTTTCAGGATCCTGGAGTACCTGATGTGTAACCAGAGCAGCCACAGCTTTCATAAGAGATCAGTTAAGACTTTCAGAGACCCGTTTTACAAAGATTATGCAGAAGAATACACAGACCACACTAATGCTGTGTATGACACAAACACCAAGTTCACAAGTTTCCATGAAAATCCCCATTATTACATTTTTTTGGAAGAACGTGGAGAAGGAAATTTTGGCTTTGGCAAAGAGCTCAAGAACCCTCAAATGGAAGATGTCCAGACTTTTGACAGTCATTATGACTATCCTGTCTGCGGAAGCAATGAAGACGTAATATGCACGCCAGAGCCTGATGAGTTTAATCCCTGTGAGGATATAATGGGATATCAGTTTCTGAGGATTGTGGTGTGGTTTGTGAACCTGCTTGCCATCCTAGGCAACATTTTTGTCCTTTTCATTCTTCTCACCAGTCATTATAAACTGACTGTACCTCGCTTTTTGATGTGCAACTTGGCCTTTGCCGACTTTTGCATGGGGTTATACCTCCTCCTGATCGCTTCAGTGGATCTCTACACCAGGTCAGAGTACTATAATCATGCCATAGAGTGGCAGACAGGGCCTGGCTGCAACACAGCTGGGTTTTTCACGGTCTTTGCCAGTGAACTTTCTGTGTACACGCTGACGGTGATCACGCTGGAGCGCTGGTACGCCATCACCTTCGCCATGCGGCCTGACCGCAAGATTCGCCTGCGGCACGCCGTGCTCATCATGCTGGGAGGGTGGTTCTCCTGCATCCTGCTCGCCCTTTTGCCACTGGTTGGTGTCAGCAGCTACAACAAAGTCAGCATCTGCTTGCCTATGGACACTGAAACACCAGTGGCTGAAGCCTACATTGTCTTTGTTTTAATATGCAACATTATAGCTTTTGTCATCATTTGTGCCTGCTACATAAAAATCTACATAACTGTGCGAAACCCCCAGTACAAGTCAGGGGACAAAGACACCAAAATCGCCAAGAGGATGGCTGTGTTGATCTTCACGGACTTTCTGTGCATGGCTCCCATCTCTTTCCATGCTTTATCTGCCATTATGAACAAACCACTGATAACTGTCTCCAATTCCAAGATTTTGCTGGTACTTTTCTACCCACTCAATTCTTGTGCCAACCCCTTTCTTTACGCTATTTTCACCAAAGCTTTCCGCAGAGATGTGTTTATCCTGCTAAGCAAGTTTGGTATATGTGAGCATCAGGCTCAAGTCTACAGAGGTCAGACAGTCTCAGCCAAAAACAGCAGCGGGTCTTATGGGCAGAGAATCAGCCGAGGGATAGGTCAGATTCTTACAAGCATTCAAGATCCAGTCAATGATTACCTTCCTGCTGTGACAATGCAGAACCAAATTCTCATGGAAGAATGCAAGCAAACTGAGCTATAATATCTCAAAGTATCACAGCCAAAACCTGGTCAAGAAGTGATTGTGCATACAGCAAATCAAGTGAGATGATAATATTCTCCACATCCTTTTCCCATAGATTACACTTGGCTATAGCTGAAAGTACTTCTGGAGTGGTCTTTTAGACAAACCACTTATTTGAACCTCCTATCAGTGGAGGGCAAAACACTTGGTCCTGATGATAATTCTAGAAGTAGAGGTGAATGCTCTACCTAAATAGGAAAATTTATATATATACATATATAAACTGAGACAATATAAAATGTACCCTCATCTTAAAAAAAAAGTAAGAAGCAGAAGACCAACAATAAGACTTGGCAGTACTTATATGGTTGAAAAAAATGGACAATGTTTGATAATTACAATCATATTTAAAAACAAATTTAAGATTGAAGCTCTCCAATATCTACATGTCAAAAGGTTGGTTTTTTTTCTAATAGTAAATTTCTAAAACTTCCACCAGGCCTAAAATGCAACAGATTTCTTCTCATTTTGTTATCATGAGCTAAAGCAAATCCAGTCTTTTGTTTGCTGTTCTTGGTTTAGCTCTGTGAAGTAGGAAAACAAGTATCTTCTTCATACTGCCTTTATAGTGGTAAAAGGCAAAGTATCACTGATTTTGCAGCTGCACATAAGCTAACAGATAAGAAACATTAGGGCATTTGTATCCTTTACTTTCGCTCTCTTGCTTTTTGATAAACCTGTTTAGGAGCTGGTTTATTTCAATTTGTTTTGAAGACCAGGCTACCCAGTCAAGTTAATGATTGTTGGTTGGGTTTTCTGGATGACTGATCCAGTTGTTACTGTGTTTCAGCACTGTTTTATCTGAGCATGTTTATTGCTCTGAACACCCTGTAATTTCTGCTTTCTTACCACTTCTGCTGTCCCTACTTACCTCTCCCTTACAGGGAAGAACTTTCCTTTTAGCATTTTCTATGTTGAGCCACCTTGACTTAGACCAAGGGAGTGGATCATGCCTTTAGGTTACTTCATGCCATACAGTTCACCACATTGAAGGCTGACTTTTAGCTCCTCCAACATGTTTTAAGAACATCTCTCTATCTTTTAGTGAGATCTGTTACCTGACTTTTGTAATATTTCCAGCACAACTACAAGAATCATGTAGTTATCTTCTGGCTGACCACAGCCTGGCTGTAGCTGGGACATATACTCTCCACAGTGTGCTTAAGAAAATCCATGCTTAGACACAAGGAACAACCTCCAGTCTAGAGCATTAAAGCATCCTTCTGCCATTCCTGCTGCTAGATGGAGCCAGACCAAGGTGAAGCCTGGCTGTGCTCACAAACAAATGAACAGAGGCCTGGCTCTACACCTCCTGCAGATATCAGGACTTGGGGTAGGAGCTGCTCTGCACCAGCTGTGTTGTTAGCATTTGAGTGGCCTGAGTGCCTGGCTCTGCTGGCAGGATCACACCTGTTCCCAGCCAGCTCCACAGACTGGCTCTGCAGAACTGCTACCAACGTTACCATGGATCATTTCACTCATCTCTTTGAAAGCCTTGGCATAAGAATGGAAAATATTGTGTGAATATTTACCTTCAGGTAGATATTTTTAAATTAGTTTTGTAATATCTATGTTGGTTTTCATGGAATTATAGTCTTTGTGGAACTATAATTAAATTGATCAGACAATAGTCAGAACTTACATAACGCAGGCTAGTAGTATCCAAAAAACAATGGTAAAGCCCTTTGAACTGCTGGCTACTACAGCTGGAAACTGAGTGATTCCAAATGCCATGTACAAACTCTATTTCATTCTGTATTTTCCAAATATTTAAAATCCAATTCGATGTTGTATTTCTGATTATAAATGAAGGCTGCTTCAGTGAGCAGAACCAAGGGCCTGGATCCATGAATTCCATTACATGGTCTTACAGAAAATAATGTATCATTGTTAATGCCATTTTAAAAAAGCTAAAATATTGCATTATAGACTAATTTAGCTGCTTATTTTGGGGGAGACGCATGTTTCCATTTTATGTTGATTCTCAGCAAACTCTGAAAACAAAACTGCTGAAAATCATGGAAATAATAATTTATGACCTCCTCTTCTGTAATATGGGGTCACCCAGTGTTACATCAGAAACAAAGACAGCTTCTTAAGTGTGCAGATCAGCAAAACTCCTTCCTCTTGAAACAGCTGCATTTGTAATGCTCTGGCCATGTCTGAGAGTCCCATACAAACATGGGACTTTTCAGATGCAACACCCCCCGCCAGGTTCTGCCACCCTTCTGATATTAGAATAATCATTAAAGTGAGAAAAAGTTTCCTGAGTGCCTTTATTTAGTATCTCAGCAGCAGCAAAGACAATCAAGTTTTAATGGACATTTATCCTACAGACTTCATAGACACTAGTTTACCAGTAGAAAAGAAAATCCAAGCTTAAATCATATTTTTTTCAGAAAGAGAGGAAAGACTAAATAAATACTTATGTTAAAAGTGCTTTTAAAAGTAACATGGATATTAAACCAAAATATTTCACAGAAACTAGTAGGACTTTGGAAAGATATGGTATGCTGGACCAGTGCAGGTTGCTTGTAAATTAATGCAGATGCTTGCTGTTACTAATGGATGACAGATGTATTTATATATTATTGAATTTTTCTGTCTCTCATCATTGCATATACACTACACCTGTTAAAAGAATTCCAAGATACTGCCTTTATCAATGAAGTTTGATATTTCCAGTTTGTCTTGCATAGTCTTTCTTGTGTTTAACTTCATGAAAAAGTATTTTAGAAGCTCTTGGAAAGGTCCAGGCAAATAGAATTTAAATAATTTATTTGCCAGACCTTTTCTTGTAAATGTTTGTATCCTATAGATATTTTCTTTCATTCCTGCTCTGACCAATTCCTCGAGCCATTTCTGGGTTTGTGTGCACCTTTATGTAATACTTGCTATTTAAAATCTGTCTCAGCAATTATTTCTGGCATGTACTATGTATGTTCTCTAGAATACTTCAGAAATAACGCAAAGTATGGGAATAAAATGCTTTGTTTGAAATTCAAAGACATTCAACAAGGTTTTTTTTGAGAAATTTTAAAATATTTTTCCTATAAAAGAAGTTAAAACTATTTATTTTGCATTCAACTTCATTGTTCTCCTTGGCTGACCTATCCCATGACACATGCTGTCTGATGCAGGTTTTGGGGATCCATCACTAGCTGTGAGAGGGATGTCCTAAATGGCCAACCCAGACAGTGCAGTAGGGATAAGAAAGGAACTGCAGTAGTACTGCTGAGCTCAGGGGTTCCACAACCATCATTCATTACATCCAAGATAATCCAAAAGAAAGAAAAGCTGTAAAGTTGAGATGGGGCCTTAGTTATGAAGACTTGTAACTTCCTCTGAGCAATTTAATGGCTTTATATGACATTTGTCTCCTAGTCTCCTCTCTCTCCAGAGAGAGATGTTGGTTTTCAACAGAGTAAGTATTGGTTCTAGATGACATCATCTGCAACAGGTCAGCTATAGCCAAAGTAAAGCACACTCTGCCCTGCTATTGGTATTTGGATTCTGAAAATAGCACAAAGATAAATTTCACATCACTATTACAGCATTTTGATTTATTAACTGAAATGCCCTCTTGCTTCCTTTCTTGTGGGATAAATAAAGTATTAATGCTTACAGTACAGGAAAATCTGTACCAAAGAATCTCCTTAGAAAGAGAAGCTTGATTTGAGTAGAAGCCCTATGCTTATGTGTTAATATGAACAAAACCCTCCCTCACAGGCTGTTTGGGCAGGTTGATGACTTAGCAGCATAATCTATTGTTTTTCTAACACATGTCAGACATTTGCACTCTAAAACCACTCAGTAATCAAATGGTTTCTGGGTTGCTGCTAAAATTGGACAGTGAGGCACGAAATTAGTTGGATATTATGCCTTTCCCTTAGGCACTCTCCCCCTCCTTTGTAGGGATTCTGAAAATATATGACATTATACTGCACTTACATGTAGGCTTCGTGGACTAATGCACGAGATGTTGAAGGGCCCTCATCATGCCCTGGAACAGAAGATGGTTAAGAGGTCTTAGTGACGCACACCAGGAGATTCTGACAGCATCGGCAACCTCGAATTCACGCTGGTCAGTAACACATCTCCATAAAGCTGTAATACTTTTCATCTGTCTAGTTACTGCCATCTGACTGGACTTATTTTTGCGTGACCAGAAACCATGATGTGAAAGTGAAAAAATGAAGGCTCTATGAGATCCATACACAGAGTATTTTATCAGAACTCATCAGCTCTAACTTCCTATTCCCATTCTACATCTGTCCCCTCTGTGCCCCCATGTACACACATTGGTACGAATTTCCACAGTATCCCAAATTTCTAGGCTCTCAGACAGGATATCAATCCTGTGTAGTTTTGTAACTGCCTGACCTTACTTTCCACCCTGAATATATTGGGTAACTATTCCAAAACGAGGAAAAGTCTCATGAACTGTAGCACCGGACTTGGACCTCACTGGAGCCATCCTGAAGTTACCCCTTGCAAGAGTTTAACCTCCATGGGATTAACAGAATGAACTTGAATCTTACCCCACCTTTTTGGGAGGACTTCTTTGTGCCGTTCTGATTACATGCAATGCCAGGGCTTGTACTTGTGGCCATCTCAAGTCATATCCTTACGGATGCACACCTGTGCAGTTCCACTGAAGCTCGTGAAGCTTTGATAATGAGTTCAAGGAGAAGGAACCCACTCATTTTGGTTTTCAGCTATTCAATATGCAGCTGAAGATGAAGAGTATCCTTTGGGTTATTTTTCTTCTCTCTTAAGGAAAGAAATACGTTGTGAACATCAACTTCATTAACAACCTATATCTAAGAGCTCACTAAACAGTAATTAGAAAGTGACTGAAACTATTGGATTGTTACTCATATATACTGTAACACTTTTTATAAGGCCTACTTTGCTGCCAGGAACAGCCTCGGTTTCAAACACTGAGACTGGTAACGGGCTGGACTGCCAAGCCCATGCTGGTCATCTTACAGCTTCAGCTGAAATGGCAGGGGCTTTTCTTTAAAAAGTGAAGAAAAACTACAGTACTCATGCCTTTTATGAAGGCAAAGCTGCAGCAAATAAAACCTGAGCAGTAACATGAGTTTTAACAAAAACCTCACTGCAGGCTATGAGGTGTTGAATGTCTGTCTTCCCCATGGCTTGCTGCTGACATATGCAGGATAGCACTGAAATACCAAACTGCACCAAAGCTGTATTTGTGCTGGTTTCATTCTGACTGTAGTAAGAATTCCCTAAGTTATATGTGGATTACTGCTGCTGCCTAGAGGGAGCTACGGAAACAACAAACTACTTCTTTTTTAGTCAGCTACAGATTTCTGACTTAACCCTGCAACAGTCAGTATAAGGCAGCAAGAACAATACTTTCATTAAAAAGCAGTTAGGAGAACATCTGACACACTGGCACATGCACTTTCCCCATGAAAAGTCCAGAAGGCAAAGAAGGGGGTTTTTCAATTCATACATAAACTTCTCCTTTGACATGAAAGTATGTTTACGATCTCCCCTTTTGTTTTTTTAAGGGCTGGCTGCATTATTTTATCTTTTCCTCTATACTGTTTCCTCTTCCCATCTCCTTCCTCTGCTACTTCAAAACCCCACATTCTATTTTAAGAATTACTTTATATTTCCCACATACTATGTGAAGTGATTTAGGCTACCTGGCAACACAGGAACCTCTGAGAGAAATAAAAAAGCTGTTTAAGGCCATGAAAATCTTTTAGGGCAGAAAATGAAAGATGAAAGATACTCTGAACAAAGATTAACAGGAATTTGATTTGGTAAATTTAAGAACTGCTCTATTTTCTCTCTGCCCCCTCCCAAAAACTTAAGTGATACATGCAAAAACATCTGTGACATGAATATACTTCACCTTTAGCTATCTGATTTTTAACACCCGTATCATCATCACACTTACCAGACATTTTGTCAGTTCCTTAAACATAGAGAACTTCACTAAATGCTACTATAATGTTTTAAAATTAAAACTACTTATTAAAATCAGACAAATTCAGCCCACAAAAACCAGGACATCAGAAATATTATTCCCAGCACTAACACTTTTTCTTCATTAAAACCATGAACCAGGAGAGCTCAGGATGAAAGGGCTTCCATCCTGCAAAAATCTGAATTTTCTGAAACAAAAGGCAATCTGGCCAAAACAAAGCCTACAAGCAGCATTCCCAGCAAGTACATTCTGCAATAGATATTTTATTTTGAAATGCTGTACTTCCCACAACACTGTGTTTCCCAGAATACATTACCTATTGGAACCAGACAGCCCACGTAGTCTGCCAGCTGTTCCTCCAAGAGGAAAGGTCTGTAAGAAATTCTCAGACACTGGTACAGCAGGACCCATGGGGAACCCTATCTGCAGGGGGCTCACAGGATTCCTAGGAGAAATGGGAAAATCCAGGGAGCCAGGAGCCTTAGCAGAAAGGACTGTCTTCCTTATTTTGCTGAACAAAATGGTTTTCCCCATCACAAGCAAGGAAGGACTTTCTTTACCTTGACATTAAATCCAGTAGCTCCAGTACTTGTAAAGCAGCATCTGGACTCTCCAACTGTCTTATGTTCCAGACATTTAGAGGGATTTTTCCACAACACTGTTCTCCTTCATTTGGTTCCTCTAGCAAAGGAAAAACATTTCTACCTTGACAGAATCACCATCCACACAACATTTTTTGCTGTTATGAGATTGTTATTTTTACAATGATAGTCCTTGTTTTGGATTTACCACGTTTCCAATTTCAGTAAGTTTTAATTTACCAAACTGAACTAAAGAGGAAAACAAAAACTAGATGTATTTTTAAAATAGTTATCATTAAAAAGCCTATTAAAATAGCAGTTCATGAATACCCATCTTCAGAGAATAGTTTTTGACCTATGGAAGTGAATGGGCATTCAGTATCGTTTGTAACATAAAACACTATTTGCACTTATTCTCTCTCCACATTATCTATTTCATATAACACTTTCAGGTCACACAAGGGCATAAACTTTTATACTATGTAAAAGGTGTAATTACATAGGCATTTCACACAAAAGTAACCGGGATAGTCTTCACTCTAAAGAAAAAATTGTCTTAAACCAAATTTTCTGAATGTTGTATATCCACACTGAAGGTCAAATGTGGTTCAACTGCAGTTCATCTGAGTGTACTACAGATGTCTTGGCTCTGAAAGGATTAAATTTTGGCATAATCGCATTAGGGGTAAAGAGTGCTGAAATCTGCTCTGAAAACAAGGGTCAAGTCTTTAACAGAGTATTTTACAAACAGAAGTCTGCATTAAAAAGAAAAAATACACACTGATTGGCCAGTTATAATCCAAGCCTTTTACTTCTCAGTATTTTCTTGCATTTCGACATACAGGACTAGTATCAAGATGTCACACAGAATCATAGAATCAATAGGGTTGGAAGGGACATCTTGAAAGCATCCAGTCCAACCCCCCTGCCAGCCAGTGTCACTGAAACAGGTGACACAGGAACTCATCCAGGTGGGTTCTGAACATCTCCAGACAGGGAGACTCCACAACCTCCTGGGCAGCCTGTGCCAGTGCTCTGGCACACTGATTGTAAAGAACTTCCTCCTCATGTTGGGCCACTGCTCCTTTTCCTGTCACTAGGCATCACTGAAAAGAATCTGGCACCATCCTCTTGACACCCATGTTTGAGATATTAACATGCATTGATGAGAACCCCTCTCAGTCTTCTCCAGACTAAACGCACCCAGCTCTCAGTCTCTCCTAAGAGAGAAATACTCCAATCCCTTGGCCATCTTTGTGGCCCTTTGCTGGACCCTCTCCAGGTAGCACCTCCTTGCTGAGGAGCCCACAGCTGGACATGGCACTCCAGATGTGCCCTCATCAGGGCTGAGTAGAGGAAGAGGATCACCTCCCTCAACCCACAGGCTACTGTTCCCAATGCACCTCAGGGCAGCACTGGCCTTCATATGAAGTTGTTTGACCAATCTTACCTCAACACCTAAGCCTTAGGCTACCACAGGGAGAAATCTGCAAGTCTGGCCTCACGATTAAACTGCAAATTTTTTTATACCATTGTGTCATGATTTTGATTTGTCAACCCAGCACACATTGTGATGGTATTAAATGGAAAGTCTGCATGGCAAACTGAACAAGTGAGTGACAGGGGAAATTACCTGCATGTGACGAACATCAATTCAGAATATTCAACCTTATTACAAAGTAGCAATAAGCCGCATATATGAAACAAATGCACATGCAAGATAGTAAATGAAGTGGCAAACATTTTTAAATAACATCTTTAATTAAAGTTTTTGCAAAGGCAAAATATTAAACTTAAAATAGGTCTTAGTACATCAAAATACTAAGTTCTCTAATCGTATTCCAAGCATGGCCTTTGAAACATAATATCCTGTATATCACAGAGGAGCAACCTTGATCTGCAATTGTACAGAATGAATTTTACAAACATAATAAATATATTTACCCCCTTACACATAACAGTATATGTACAACAGCAGTTGACAATAGTAGCTCAGAACAGCAAAAAAGGATAGTCCCCCACTCCATAATCTATTGGTACCCTATGCACTCTGGAACATGTCTCATTGGATGACTGTACATATAGCTAACCCAAGGTAGTTTTTCCTGTTTAAAAAAGCTCCTTTTTTCACAACATCTAATCCACCAAATAATAATTAAAAAAAACACACTGCATGAACTGCCTGAAAAGAGTAGACGACATGGAAACCAATGTACTGGTTTTTACACATTTCCCAACCAATCACAGCAATGGGAAAACGAGACTTTAAATGCCAGACACCAATACAGAACAATATGCAAGTTTCTTCATCTTGTATAGTCATTAATCTCAAAGTCTGAGAAGAACTCTAATATCAGATGGGGATGCATGGGTGGTGTGGGATGGCACACAGCAAAACCCCACGGTGCTGTGTAAGGCAGCCCAGTATCAATCCAGTGTGCATTGCCCTAAAACTACTGTTCATTTCCTGGACATCTTATTGCATTCTATTAGGAACCTTTTGCTTTGGGGGAAGTTGTGGGGGGCTTCATTGTTTTTAAAGGAGCTTTTACAAATTGAAGAGATTAAATCAATACGAACTTTAGTTAACAAGGTCTCTTAACTCCTTCACTGAAATGAAGAAATTTTACTCTGGTAGTGTCATGTGGTGACATAATTACCGCTGTCAAGAGGTGAAATTATTTTCACAGACTCAATGAAGTTTACTTTAAACACTCCTAATTGTGCAGCAAAAAGATAAGAAAATATTTATTAAAAAAAAATTGGTTACATGACACAACATGTGTTTTGCTCTCTTCTAGAAAATGTGCTTCAGAATCACGTATCAATCCTGGAAATAAACTTGGACCACAACTGTCACTTTAAACAGTGTTGAGGAAACTGAATGATATTTAAATGCAAGTTGTGAGTACAATGCAGGAACAAGGAGCATGAAATCTCAAAGAAATCTTGTTGCTAACCAGCAACTGAGGGGGAATAAAAACATTTTATTTAAATAGTCCAATAAAGTTCCTTATGTGACTAAATTCTCTATTATCTTCTTAAAAGAAAACACTTAATTTTGTTTTTCACTTAGATGGTTTTAAATGATTGCACACACTAGAACCCAACAGAATTAGCACAAAAAAGTTGCTTTTCTGATTGAAGCACTGCAGGAAATTTACTCTCTCAGAAATCATTGTCATACTGGCAAAACAGGTATTCTGCAAACTGAAAAGGCACAAGACTCAATTTTGCCCAGTTGCTCTGCAAGTTTCCATCAGTCATCATGGTTATAATTCTGAAGTTATCTTCCCCATTTTTTTTTCCATCATAAAAAAGGTGCTCCATTATCTGTGCAAATTTTAACATAAGCCCTCTTGAAACCATTAATTGTTTCCATAATACTGAACTATTGAAACTGGAAAAAAAAAAAAGCACACTATTTCTAAGGGGGGAAAAAAAAAAAATCACTTATGAACATGGGAATCCCTTGCCCTCTGAAAGGAATGGTTTCTTTTGAACCTAATGAAATGGTCTGTTCAATTATACAGTTAAAACCATGATTAAAAATTCAAGTATAATAATAAAATTAAGCAAACTACATTCTTACAGCAAGCTGCTACAATAAAATGAAATTAAAACATGCTTTTTGACTTAAAAAAAGGAACACTTGATGTAGCAATAAGAGCACAGTTTGGTATGTGCATGGTTTGACTGGCTTTCCCAAAACTTCACAGATATTTGTATTTGAAGATAAAAACCTATCTGGAAAGCATACCATACAATTAGCTCGCAAGAGGCTGTGCAGGTTCAGAAAGCATCTAACATCCTTCAGAACAGACTAAGCTTAATTACCTTTAAAATTCAGCTACCCCTTAAAATAGAGAGGCTATGCAGCTTCTAGTATATGTATGTGGGTGAGAAATATCACTAAGTTGTATGAAAACAAAGTGTTGTATAAGTAAACTGGATTCTAGTAGTATAAAAAGGAATCTACAGCTAAAGGGGATGTTTTTTTTTTTTATTGGTTTGGTTGTGCAGCATTATGGGAATTTTTCTTAAGTCCACTACTTAAGACTTACTGGTAACAGACATGGAAAAGGTAAGGGAAGAAATTAGTTGGTAAATTATTGATTTCCTTGCAGTTGTACATGGAAGTGTCAACAGTGGTAAAAAAAATAAAATACCTGCGATGTTCAAAAGAAAGCAAACACCAATTAGTTTGTGAAACCTTGAAAGCCTCAAGCTAAAAATGCAGTCTAAATGATGATTCCACTAGTGAAGAATCAATTAGAAGAATCATCAAGTAACTTTTCATAAAGCTTATGAATGTAGACGGCTTTCTAACAACCATACGGCTCCAGACATAGCCTACAGGCAGTTTTAGTCATTATCAATGAGAGCGCAGGTGTACAAAATCACAGCAATAAAACTTTTACAATTTGTTGTGATCTTTCTACATACTACTGAGACTACAAATGCACTTGGAGGCAAATGAATCAGAGAATGAAAATTAAAGTAGTTGTTACATACTGCTAAAATACACTTGTGACTTTTTAAAAAAATAATGTTTAAGATGTCTCATTCTCAAGCAAAAAATACAGTAAGAAATCATGCCTGCTTCTCATGGTCTTATCCAAGTTAGTAAAAATTATCTTTGTTGTATCCTTTTTCCATCATCTTTTCAAGCACCCAAAAAAATGCAAAATTTTTTTTGAAATGGTGAGCCACATGAACATTCTTTCCTCAACAGTTTCTTAAGTATAATGCCCATTCCCTCTCCTCATTCAAAAGTAACTGCGTTTCCAAAAGCAGGGTTTGCAACAATGACCCTGTGCAGGAAGAAAAGTTCTTCAACTTCTGAGGTGAGAAAGGGAAGGAGGGGGGAATAACTTTGTTGCTTTTCACAAATTGAACACAAAAAAAACCCCAAACAAACAAACAATAAAAAAGGCAAGTGAAAAAGTGACTACACAAGGTTTAGTGCATCTGACTGCTTGATTTGCTGTTACCAAGACAGTCTAAAGATACTCTACGAAAATCTGTGTTCTCAGAAGCTGTGCAGCTCTCTTCATGAAATTACATGCCATCTGGAAACTTTAGAGAGATTAACTGCTGCAGGTAACTTCTGGCTATACTTTTTAGTAAAGCAGATCTTTGATTAAGAGTTGCAGCCAGGATGTTAGAATTTTTATGTGATTTTCTGTATTAAAAATTTAGTTATTCCTGTGGTCTGTTGAATTACTTGTGGGTGTCTGACTACATACACAGTAAGCAGGTAAAGGAATGCATCTACTATGGCATTACCTAGGTATTGGATTCAAAGGATCTCCAAACACTTTCAAAAAATGTTAAAAAAAAAAAAAAAACCTAAATCAAGGGAAACTTACTTGTTTCAATTCAGTGATGGCGAAGCACCACAAAACAGCAATATAATTAACAAGTTAAGCAATGTGACTTTAATGGGGGGATGAGGTGCTTCAAATTTGAAAAATGCAGCCCTAGATAAAACCTATCACATGAAATTAAAATAATTTTGAAATATAAATCATAATTTTACCATTGTGTAACTGCTAGGAACAACAACCTGTTGGGGAACTGCATTGAAAACAACAAATAGATATAATAATTAATGAGCATATCAGAATTAAAAATATTTTCCTTATACAAGTTATTTAAAATTTAATACCTTAATTCTTACCCTTCTGTACAAAGCTTGCACGCAGTTTAAGTAAGATTCTGACCATCCTCACTACCAAAAGGAAGTGTCCAAAGCAAAGATTTGTACACACAATAAGCATTTTCAGATTAATAATCTATCAAAGGGAATAGTTCCTTCAATCAGTGGAAGAAGTATTTCAAAACCTTAAATCAAGGGCAGGGGGGACAAAGCCTTACATGCTAAATACCAGCTGTAGGTACCTGTATGTAGAATTTATAATTAAGGTATTCCTAACACACAAAACCAGCTCCCAGACAATGCTATAGCTGCTACAGTCCATGGCTTGCTCATCTGAAGTAGTGTCTTTGTTGCCACATTTTACCTTTGTTCCAAAACTTTTGTTTATTTCTGATGTGCAGTTACACATTTTGATTGGAGTATACATCCAAGTCTCAACCTTTCCTGCTTTTGTTTTTTTTCCTTTTACAGGGAGTTCTTTTGTTTTGTCTTTTAAAACTTCACCATTCTGCGTCCCCAATGGCTTTGGAAAATACATAATCTCTTCCATTAAGATTCATGATGCCATCTTTGAGATGAAATTTCCATTTGTTTTTACTTCTGTGAATCTAAAAATGGGCAAAAACATTAACATGTTACTCTGCATCAGAACTAGGTAAGAATGCATAAGTAAATTATAATGGCTAGAAAAATAAAAACAACTATTAGACATACATTACTAAACCACTAAAAATACTGAGTGCCACATGCAGTCTTTCCTTAAAACTCCTCCAGGGACAATGACTCCACCACTTCCTTGGACAACCCATTCCAATGTTTAACAACCCTTTCTGTGAAGACATTCCTCCTGATGTCCAGTCCACATGTTTCATTTAAAACTAAAGAAAATTGAACAAGAACAGTCTAAAGACAGAGGAGTAAACCTTGGAAAAATTAAAACAAAACCAAAAAGCAACAACCCCCTACCACATGCTGTAAGCACAGAGCAGACAAACACTTGCAATCTATCAAGAACTGCATCTGAAAGAGCAAAAGATCACCAGATACTCAAAGAAACAAAGACTTTTCAGAAAGCTGAAATGCTGTCCAAAAGGAAAGTTTATGATAAACTTTTACAGATGGAACAAAGATGGTCTAGAAAAAGTTAAAATTTTATATAAATCATAAAACCAGGAAACCCTGCTGCAATTTTTCAATTTTTATCAAGCATAGGAAGTCTCACCGTCTACCATTAGTGCTGTAGAAACAGTAACGTAGCACCCAAACAGCTATGACCATATCACTCTACTAATTATTTCTAGTACTGCTTGATCTGTTTTCACTTTAAGCTGAAAAAGGCAGTCAGTGGCAAGTCAGAAACAAGGAAAGGTTTGATATACACTACTTGTCCTACTGAATGGCATTCCACAAAAATCCCTCATTGGAAGCGTTTCAGCTGCCATGAGGTTAGAAGGAAGGTCCTCAGATGAACAACTGAATAAAGATGAGGAAACGGGTAAAAAGCACAGTTTTTACAGCAAAATGAGTTCATTCCAGCAAAGATTTGTGCTGGTTGGAGCCAACACAGTTTAAGAGTTCACTAAGGATCTCAAAAATGACAATGTACTGATGATTCAGAAAAACAGTTACTGAAGAGCTGCAGAACGATGTTACTGCCTTGACTTATTGTCTAAGAAAACAATGATGGCATTCAAGGCATAAGAAGATAGTAACCATGGGAAAAAAATAAATTTCAATTTACATGAACAGTAGAAGCACTGGGTTTGAACTAGCAATTACAAGTCAGGAATGAGATTCCAATGTTCTAAGACTTTCTCATGAGAATATCAGCTGTTTCCAGTGGGGCCAAAAGCATACACGAACTATTGCAGAACACTGCTAGACCAGCAAATAAATTGCCTGTGCTCCTCCCTAAACCTTATTTACCCTTACAAGTAAGATATAGAAAAAAATCAAACATATCTGGAGAATGAGACTAAGAGTAATCAAATGTTTGAACAGCTGTACAAATAACAAAGTGCAGCTCTGATTTCAAAGATATGACTGAGGAGGTTATGATGGTCTGGAATACAATAAACAGAACCAAGAAAGCAAAGAAGATAAGACTCTTTAGAACTAGGAAGTATCATACAAAACTAGCGAGTTTATAATCGAGGTGATCCTCCACACATCACACAATACATTTATGAAACTTCTTGTCATAAGGCAAAGTTTTCAAAGATTCAAAAATAATCAAATTGATTTCTAAAAAGTAGAGGAAAAGATCCTCTGTTGGCCATCTGAGAAGAAGGCACTTTCTCTTCCTCAAGAGACAGTTCACAGAAGGATCGTAGCAAAAAGCTCTGCATGAGAATTGCTACCTGTTGGTTCTTGTCTCACAGTTCCAGAAGCACCCACCATCAGGTGATGCAGGACACTGGGCAGGAGGGAACTGCTCAGATCTAAGCTGATTCTATGTATTTTAGAGGCAAACTGAATAATGGTTTCTTGAAAAGAGATGAAGTCCTTTCAGAGTATTTGGCACTGGAAGTTAACAATGGACACTGTTCCCTACCAAGTTCCCATTCCACCCTTTTAGAGAATGAGGATTTCAGAGTAGTTCCTGTTGCTCAGCTTCAGCAGCTTCCAATAAGCCTTTCTGACTGCTGGTCTGAGGTCCCTTACTATTCCTTACAAATTGCCTCAAAGCAGTTTTGGGTTACAGTTTAGAAGTGACAGATGGCTGGGATGTAGGTCTTAAATTCTGTGTTTAATGTGATAACAAGTCTAAGCAGAGTCTGGGCATAACTGAAGACTTGCTAACACAGCCATTCTTTGCAACATAGGAGTTTTTATTCAAGTTTACAGCTTTTTTTTCCCCTGCTTTATAAAGGATCCCTATTCATTTAAGCCCAACTAATTGAGTACAGGAAAAGAAAAAAAAGAACACATCAAATAATCTGCATACTACCTCAGCCGAAAGGTTCTGGTATCATCTAGACACATTTAAAAAGATTCCTGCACAGATAAATCCTTGCATATTCCAGGGAAAGCATGATCCCCTGTAATGACTAAATTCTTGCCAGACAGTTCAGCAGAATTTAAAGCAATACAAGCATAAGCATTCCACACTGCCATTTCATATAGCACAATGCATACCACAGAAAGAGGATTCTTCTCTGGTAACTATCCTATCATCCAGAAAAGATACTTCTAGTGATCAAGAAACAGTTTTCCACAAGTCTAAATCCTGATGACTACTTTTCCTGTTTACAGCCACAATAAATGTACAAACTTAACAATGGTTCACTTCTCTTGGTCCCAGAAGACTGCCCTTTTATTAAAGGGCACAAAAAGACACTGTGAAGAAAAATAAAATGCAGTCAAAGTTTTTATAAGCTTTACTCATTACCAAGTTCAATACAAACATGGTACACAAACCTGTTTTGAAAACAATGGGTAATTCTCATTTCCATTCACATTATAGTCTGTACAAATCTACCTGTATTTAACAGTAACAAAGACACTACTTAAAAACTATAATTTGATAGGAAGAACAAAGAAAGTAAAACTCCTGGATTGTTTTCTGTAGAGATTTACCTTATCATACTGGCACACAACAACATTTTCTGTATCAAACAGTTCTTGTCCTTCCTCATCACTCACATCATCTTCACTGTTCAGAGGCTCCTGAAATAAACATATGCAAAAAGCTATGATGGTATGCAAGATTAGAGCTGTTAGTTTGATCATCAACATGAGGCTACAGTGCTGTCCATGAACTACAGGACCCAAAACACAGTTAAGATGGGCAACACTAGGCTTTCCAACAGAGCACTGATGCTTCCTACCCTCCATCCTGAGAGGATACCCTTATGAATTTTAGTCTGGAACTTCAGTGTCCAGGCCAATTTCTGAGCACTGCTGCCTTTTGTCACCATAACTATTCCAGTCTTGCTCCTTCACTGTAAATGTTCATACAAAAGAAAGAAGACTTTCATTTTTTGTAAAGCATCTAAACAGTGGAAAGGTGACATCAAATGTGAACAAGTCATGGAGTTGCATTTTTAAGGGCACGTAAGTGATGTGACCATAAGAAGAAAACTCCATGTCTTATTCACATTTGATGTGTCAAAACTGAAAACAAACCTCAACATACACACTTTTATGTGAATAATGAACACTTCAACACCTGAAACAACAACTAATAAACACAGGACAACAAATATTTCCAAATATATAAGCTAAAGGGAGGAGATGCTAGTGAGAGGAGGTGTACTAGAGGTCCTAATTCCATTCAAGATTATGGTATGTTTAACTGAGTTTAAAATCTTTAAGGAACTGATCCACTCTAAGTAGCTGCTGAGGAGTAAAGGAAGCAAAAAATAGATTTCTGACATGTTGATAATGATATCTTGGCATACTAAAAACTCCCTCCAGAAAGTTAGCATTAAGGTCAAGGAACACTTAATATTTAAGAATGATGACTTACACTTAAGGCAACTATTAAAACATTCAAACTGACATCAGTGCTGAATGATATAATGGAAAAGTGATATGAACCCAACTTGTAATTTGTAACAGAAAAATAGTGTTAAGACACCACTGTAGATGTACCACAGAAAATCTGATTATTTACAAGTTTTACCTGCATATCTTGCATGGGTGATACAGACTGAAATGCTGTTCATACTGGCATTTTAAATGGAATCTAAAATAATTGGAAAGGCTGTAGAGAAATTTGGAAGAAATCTAGCAGTTCAAGATGCATTTTAGGGACAGATTTAGGGAGTACCAAGTTTCCTGTCTGAGACTAAGTATCAGTACTTTAACTTAGTAGTATTTCCTCATCCTCTACCTCTTTTTTATTTATTATTCTTATGGGGCTTTTTGGAGCAACACACCAAAACTCAGTAAGAACCACTGGCTGAAGTCCAAAACCAAGCCAACTCAAAGTCTAAATTAAGCACATACTATTAAGAATGCAACAACTCAGTCCTGTTCCTGTGTCATTTTATTAAATCAAGATAAGATGTGTTTCTAGAAGATGCATTATAATCAAATTTGAGTTCTCAACTTGCTCCTGTGTAACAGAAAGCAATGGAATAGCCAATGAGATACAGGCAGACCACATCTGTTGATGTCATCACTGAACCAAATACTGCTTTCCTTTTTGTCAATCGTAACATCCTGCTTTTGTACACACTTAGCCCCAAGTGGAGTTGACTGTTTCTGTTTGCTCATGAAGGTTATATGATTTCATGACTGGCCTTCATCAAAAATATTCCTCCTGAAGTGTTTTAAATGGTGTTGGTCACAGCTAATTTTTGCTGTGCCCTCCACATCCTCCCCAGCTGAATTGTTTGCTAATACACACTATTTCCATAACTTCAACATTGGAAACAAACAAACAATCTGAAGTACAAAGATTAAAGTTATATTCTCAAAATTACTTAAGTAATTTTATTATTTGATATAGATAGTTTTTTCAAAATACCAACAAAAAATTTAAACACAACCATAACATTAAGTTTACCTCTTCTACTTGGCCATCTTCACCCCCATCTTTTTCTTTCTCTTCCTCTTCATCATCATCATACTCTTCTTCCTCATCATCTTCTTCTTCAGATGATGTGTCCCCTGTTCCATCAACTTGGAGAACAAGTGGTGCTTGTGGTTGTGCCTGTTGTTGCTGTGGCTGCTGCTGACCAGCTGCAGGAATCTGTGCTTGAGCTGGTGTAGGGGCAGCCACTGTTGTAGGTATAACTTGAGTTTTATTTCCTGTAAACAGGATCTGCTGAGGCTGAATAATCACTCCTGTCTGCTGGGAAAGCCCTCCAGGGAGAGGAGCCAAAACCTGATGGAATATCATTGTAAGTACTGTGGCTGCTAACATGACAGACTACCACATCAGACTCAAAGGAAACAAAGCATATCAATCTGACTTGAACTAATTACAGAAGAGTTACAAATATTCCACCTATACCAGCTACATACTTTTAATTATATACCTTCTTGCTTTGTTATTAATTTTCTGTATTTTGCATTGCTAAATTTAAGAAAAAAATTTAAAAGTCTATCCATTCTAAAACATGAGCACTACCACCACACCCGAGTTCCAAACACAGCACTAGAATGTTTTAATTCAAGTAAAAGATTATTTTCAAAAATCTTCTTCATAAAAAAAAATTAAACTCTTTACAAATTGTTAGTCATGATTGAACTGTAGAATTGCGATATTAACAATGTGACTTTGATAAATTCAATGCTAACACAGTCTGGACACACAGCTGACCTCGCAGATGATCAACAATCTTTCTAAAAAACATACTGTACTCACTACTAAAATAACCAAGGAGTGCCAGTTGTAGGTATTTTGTTCTGAGTATTATGTGACACAGAATAATCTTAACTAATTTAAAAGTATGTAAACTAGGATTATGCACATAATACAACTCATCAGGAGATCCACAGAAGAAATTTTAAACTGCATCCAGTCAGTATCTGGCAAGAATCAAAGTGACATTGAAAAGAACATTTCAAGATTGTTCATTAAAAAAAAAAATTAAAAAAAATTAAAAAAAATCACAAAACGTAACCAAAAAACTCCTGCCACACTTCACACAACTTTTTATTCTTTTAAATTATACTGTTTGAGTTTCGTTCTAGTTCAATCCACTCACAAAAATGCAAGCTCCTTTAGTAATTATTATGTTTTTTTTCTTCCAAGTGTACCTATTAAAAAAACTTCCTTTACCTGCTGAATAACAGGTGCTTGTACTCCACCAGGCTGCATTTGGGGTATAACTTGCTGCTGTAGAACCACTGGCTGCTGTGGCTGAATAATATATTGAGCTCCATTTGCAGTTCTAACTACTTGGAGGATCTGGCCTGTAGTAAAGTAAGTATCAAATTAAACAAATGTGCAAGTTCACTTTTAAAATTATCTTAGTTTAGAAGCTTGCTTCCTGGAAGAATACCAATGGCAATTCAAAGAGAGAAATACTAAAATGATTCACTTTCATCAGTGAAAAGACAGTGTGTAATTGCAGCTGTGCCAGAAACAAGGAAAAGGGCTGTTTGCCATCTAAATATGATCATGAGGTATACAATCCAAAAATAAATTTACTTTTGCAGGCCACAGATTAATCCTTTAACACACCACAGTATTTTAAATAATAGCTCCCACTTATGAGCATACTTCCTGTTTTAAGACATATTCTACAGCAGGAAAGACAAATAATTGTAAACCAAAATAGAAGTACATATTTTCACCATATAAAAAATTCTATCCACTGCTAACAGCATGGGGTATTTCCAGGGTCCTGTGGAATGACCTTTCCTCAGAATTTTTCCCTTCTGGTTGCCACACTGCAAGAAGCTCCTCTGTGCCTAACTTTCTTTACAGTATTATTTGCAGGTGATTTTTTTTGCGGGGGGGGGAAGAATCATCTATCCTTACAATTATTGTCCATCTCTCCTTCCTATTCCCACAATGCCTGTACTTGATTTCCTTTTGTTATCCTTTAGCTTTTCCATTTATATACCCTTCATCACTTAACAAAATACATCCAAGACAAAAACACACACTTGGAAATAAGCCTGAAATTCTGAAAAGTAAGAGCTAACATACATTCCAATATTAGTCACATTTCTTATAAGAAAGGTGGAGTAAGAAGAGAGAAGAAATTAAATTAGATAATCCTGAACTTTATACATTTCCCTCAGATGGATTTCCTGTTCTCCCTTCACAGAAAAATGCAAAGCCCTATTTATTGAAATAGCTAAATGTACCTGAAAGGACTTCCCCAGCCCTAGTCTAAGAAATTACTGTAAATGTTTAAAACTGAAGTATTACTACAAAACTAACAAATGTAGGCTGCAGATTATTCTGTGCTACAACAAACTTAGATGTGCTTCCTTAAAACTGGGAAGATTTTCATTTTTAGAACAGCTACACATTTACATTTTACTTCAACTATATACCATGAAACATTATAGTGTTTAAAACAAGAGGGTTAAATCCCATGTGATTCTGAGCAAAGGTGAACTACTCCAGCAAAAGCAGCAACTAGATCTAGAAAACTGTATTTCTCAGGCCTTTCTTTATTTCCTGTGCAGCAAATCTATAATCAGGTTTATAAAATCAACACAATATGAAAGTACATGAAATATCAGATACACTGCTCATCAAAATAACATTTACTTATATTCTAAATGCATGGCGTAACAGTATTTAGAAAGAATAAATATGAAATTAAGTTATCATTGCTAAGAAGGTTAGAAATTCCACTTTGCATGCTTAGCAGGTATGAAAAAAATCTTAGGACACTGCTGTTCTGAAGGCACAGAAGTAGTGATCCTACTTTTATACCCAGCACAGTACCTGAGCTCGGATCATGCATCACAAAGCTCAGAAATACACAAAGGGGAAAGACACCAACACCAATCCTTGTGCATCTAGAACGTCCCTCTAAGTGGGGAAATCTTACACAGATTCTAACATACAACACCTTGGGCAGAACCACAAGGTTCATAAGAAAGTCAGTGGGCAAAAAATGCAGGAATAAAGTAAAGAGACTGCACTACCTTGTTAGGGTGGATTCCCAGATGGTGTTTATAGCAATAAATAACAAGAAGTAAGGCCCAGAATGCTTCCCTTTTAAATCCCCATAAAACGATAGTTTGTTCTCAATATTCAGAGAGTTACCTGAATTTGTAAGTATCTGCTGAACTGGAGTAACACCAGCGGGGAGAGCCAATGTAGCTGCAGTGGCTGCAGCACTCTGAAATACAAGAACAGCTTTTTAACCACAAATGTAATATTGACAGTGTTTCATCTCATAACATACTGCCTAAACACACCTGACTTTTTATTGCTGTTTATAGTGTTTGCACACAAGTTCCTGCAGCTATTAAAATGTAGGCATTTCAACTGTACATTATTACTACATATAAAAATTATTCTATTTTCCTTCTTTAATAGTAAGACTGAAGCAAAATCACTAAATATCACACCCTAATGCATCTCCATGGAGTTTCTTGGTTTATCTGCAAGCTCAGCAGATAAACCTCTGCCTTCTTTGCTGATCTTCCAATACAGCACAACACTGCGTTGCTCATCTGGCAACTTTAGTTACACTTTCTCAAAGCCGCTGAGACTATGGGCCTACAAATCTGAAGAAACATAAGGTACTGAAGCAATGACTATGTTTGCCTGCCTTGTTTTCACAAGGCATAGTAACCAGGTTTGCACTCTTCTTCATTCTGTAAATGATTTGCATGCCAAGTCCCACATCACAGAGCTCCTTTGAGTGAACCTACACATACTGTGTACTGACTGTTCACAGAATGACTGATTTTTTTCTCTCAAGACAGCTGGTTCAAAGAGAAAGTGGAACTGTCAATGAGTAACAATTTTAACCTGCAAGGAAACTGAATTCCAACACAATTATGGGAGCTCCAAACATAAAAATCTGAATTAAGTCCTTAACTTAATGTCCTGAAGATGGACTTCTATAGAGGCCTCTCCATTTCAACTGCAGGTGCCTACAGAAAAGACCTCCCTTGCCCTACTATAAGGGAACTATGGCTGACTATTGTACGTTACTGAAAAGATTTAAACTTCATTACTGGGTAGAGTGCTTACTTCCTGTTTAGAAGAAAGAGCATCTCCCCGTACTGTCTAGCCAATATAGTAACTACATCTGCCAAGATTAGAGATCACCACACTAAATTAAAACTTGCTTGTATGCATTCTCACATCCCAAACAAAGGTAGATAAATGAACTCTCATTACTCTCTGCCTTCCAAAATACTCAAAGTATGTCAGATCCACTCTTTTATATCAACTTAAATGTTCCTAATGAACACAAACAGTATTTCCAAATTGATTAGAACTCTTTGCTGAACAGTAGTTTGCTGTGGTATACAAAGCAACAACATTTTGACAGCACTGGAGTTTAAAAAGCCTGGCATACTAGTTTTTTTCTATACCCTGAGATAACGGAGACAAGACAAAAACACATTTAATTGTTGGACTTGTAAAGTTACAAATCCCATTGAAATGTTGTCAAACATTAGAAAAGGGTGAATGTGTGCTCTTGGCTTGTAGGTAAATCATGCTATTCAAGTAACCAAGTTCAGGCTCTTTTCTGTAGCAAGATCAGCAGGTAATGGAAAAGTAAAAGTTAAGAGAAGGCAGTTCCAGCTTCAAAACTTTTTGCATCATGAAACTTTGCTCCATGAGCTTTTACCATAGAGGTGGTAAGAATGTAATTCTAAGAGTTCTGGTTGTAATACACACATTAAACTTATATTAGGGGTTGTCTACAAAGTTCTGCAAACAACTTCTTTTTCTTTAAATTAAGCCAGGGCCTTTAAAGCAAAATAAGATAAGCAATACTAACCTCTAGAGATAGAGTACAAGAAAACTGTAAAAGACCAGTTCTATACGTTGATACACGATTAGTGAATCAAATGAATGTGATCAGCAAAGATCTGTGTGAAATGCTAAATCATCTCTCATTCAAAATAAACTTAAGTTTCAGCATTTTTAATGCTTTTTCCTGCATCTAGCAAATACATTATGCTTGCATCAGTTAATGGTGGTGTATTGGTATATGAGCATATCATCATGGAGATTCATACCAGCAGTATCCCAATTTCTGATTTTAAAAAAATTTTGGTTAAACACATTTAAGCAGAGGATCAAAGTAAATCCTAGATTTGTTAGCCGAGCTGAAGTTACAGATTACTGTTCCTAGACTGTAAGTGCAGCAGCAAAACTCAGAAAGGTGGCAGATAGGTTTACCAGTGTATCCTAAATTACTTTTAATCATCTGATGACTAATAGAAATTAGTATTTATTATTTAATCAAAACAATTTACATAATGACAGTGTAAGCCTGTATAAACTTCTCTTCTTACCATGCCTGATGCATTCATATGTGGTATCAGCTTGGAATCTGGCACAATAACCTGCTGCTGAGGTGCTAGAAACAAAAAACCAAATAAAAACAACAGTATTCAACAAAAAATACACAATCTTCCCAAATAACATCCAAGCCAGAGTAACCTAGAAAGAATATCACCTAAATGTCAGCTGAGCTTCATCACAAAAACAAATACTAAGCTGTCTCGGGTCTTAGTAAGTTTTACTCTCAAAAGAATATATTCAACAGTGGGTGATACAACTCCTTTGCCTTTACAGATCTTATTTCAAGGGCTTCAGTTACCTATTCTGACTATGTAAAGCAAGACTGAAAATGTGTTTCTGAAATTAAAGGTATTAGTGAGATGTTGATAAAATTTATGTCAATATCAGAGTTCTTAAAAAACAAAAATAGTTAACTCTAAAAACAGACTTAAGCAAGGATTATTCCAAGATAAAGAGTAACAGGATGCTGCAGTTAGCCTGAGCTACACACAGCCAGCATAGCTGTAGGCTCATGATCTTCCCTGTCCTTCCAATGTGATAAACCACCTCTCCCACACAACAAAGCAGTTTTGGTGAGCTAAAGGAAAGAGACAGCTAAACTGTACAAACAACCTGTTGATCATCTGGAAGCACATATGTCCAAGCCTATAGAACAAGCATATTGCCACTGCTATTATTAGTTACAGTAAACTCGAAAGTGGCAGAGCAATTTGAATTAATTAACCATTGACAAAGTATACTCCATTTAATCTTTTAAACAAACGACAATTAAGAATATTAGGGATAAGAGTTTCTGGAAAAGATCTTGGGGTAGGAAACCCTCAGATCTCTGTACATGTTGTGAGGCATCTCCAAATTTCAGGGAAATTAAAGAGGGCAAAAGATTAAGGAAATCTCGTGAACTTGTGCCAGGACAGCAGCAATAACCATGCTGATCATCCTGATCCCTCCCTGGGACTGCACTAGATCATGTGAGGAACTATTATACCATCTCCACCACGGAACAGGTAAGTCAAATAATTCATAAAGCTGCATCTGTGATGGAAGTGCTTTGATATCCTAATTTCATTTAGCCTCCACGCGGTCATTTAGACGTAAGCCGCAACACTGGTCAACAGTAAATCAGCTTTAAGTGTGTTACCACGGGCAGGATCACGCCTACATCGGGAGCAGAGGGAAGCACCTCCATGTTCTAGCGCAGGGAACGCGGGCCAGCGTCCGCAAAGGGGCCGCCAGAGGGCGCGGTGAGCGGCCGCGCCCGCCCTGTTTATTGAGAGGCTTTCATCTCAAAATTAATTCTACCCCAACATGCAAAACTCATATCTAGCCAAAATAAAAAGTACTATAAGAAGAAAACAAGCAACATCCATCTTTCCCTCCCTGTCAAAAAAGTGCCCCAAGCAACCACAAAAAAACCCCCAAAACAACAAACACCATGGAAAAACCAGTCACATTAGTGCTGTACTGTGTTGAATATATGGTGGTTGGGTTTTGAGGCAAGACAGCAAGGGATATCAACTTTTATCCATCTTTCGTGCCTATGACAACATAGGTTTTCTGATTCCTGAAATCTGACAAGAAGACTGAAGTCTGTGACTACCAGAGATAAATATTTTATGTCACAACAAATTTAACACACTGAAAATTCGATCAAGCCTTTCATAGGTGGCAGATATGTTACTCAGCATATATGCAGTAAAATCCAGTAATATTTGTCTCAGTTTTCAAATTAAACAATTGCTGAAAAAATTTTTCATTAAATTATTAATGAATACACAAGACAGTTATTACAAGAAACAATACTGTTCTGCCTAGCTAAAATACACCTTGGTACATGCATATCTACACAGTGTGCAATCTTTTAAGAGCAAAAAAAAAAAACCTACACAGAGTATAATACAAGTATTTTTCATGTCTTAGCGTTGAGTTATGCTAACCAATAAGGGTTTTTGAAATAATTTGCTCCTAATGACATTACTACCTCGTGACGAAACTGTCAACTGCTTATGTATATTGGCTTGAACTTCGACTGCTAATAGAATTTTGAAAGTTGTGCATTCTGAAAGCATGTTATGTTATAGGAGACCAAGAGAAGAATTCAGCTTTTTTCAAGATATTCTAAAGAATGTGACTTAGAACAAATACCAAATCACTTTTCACTGAGACAGCTTTCTTGACCCATTGAATAGAGGACAAGTAGACAAAGTTAACCATCAGAAAAGCATCCTGCCCTAGATTTAGAATATGCTACAGAGCTGGACTAACTTCAGGGTGTTTTACCAGAATGTTTAGAGATTAAGTCTGACCTTGCTGAGATGCTGGAATAAGGACCTGTTGTGGCTGAGACTGCTGCTGCACAGTCTGCTGCGGCTGAGGTGTGTGATGGTGGTGGTGATGATGCTGCTGTTGCTGCTGCTGCTGTTGCTGTTGTTGCACCTGCAATAAAAGCTGCTGCTCTTCTGAATGGAAGCCATCTACAGCCTTAGACTGCATCAGCTTGTTCTCCCACAGCTAATTTGGAAAAGGAAAGAAAAATATCTGTGTGTAACTTTTACTCTACAGGATTTGTAACAATATAATGACAGTAGTCCAAAACAGAGTTTCACTGTTTATTTTGTGCAAAAAGCCTTCAGGCAGATACAGACAAAAGATAACCCCACAGAGTTAAGAAAAGTAATTAAATATCCCTTGTCAGTCCAAGATTAAGCTTTGACATTCTCTCCTTCTTCCAAGGAAGAAAGGAAGATTCACAACAACCCTAATAGAAGCACGAATTGAGATAAACCGGTAACTTTAAATAAGAGTTCAAGTTTTCAATTTCCCTATATTCTCTCTTATCTCTTTAATCGCAAAACTAATTCTTTATTACAGCTTTCCTCAAGCCATTTCCTCTTGGAACTCCTCAATAAAAGTTGCTTAAAAACTACTGCTGCCTACAACAGAAGCTACCAGTATACCCAAGATAATGCCTCTCTACAATAATTTAAATAGCTTCTACCACACTATCAAATTCGGCTTCTTCAGCCCTATGGTTCTTTATGTCAGCTGACAGGTCTCCAAAGAACAGACATGGATGCAAAAAATCAGCTCTTGTAAAAAGAGCAACACGGGTATTCTGTAATATATCAAAGTCTAAAAGACAACAGCACCCAGGACTCATGATTTCAAAATCCGCTAGGGCTCCCTTCCTCTTCAATACTTCATTTTCCTTCTTGTCTTTCCTCATTAATTTTTTCTGACATTATTAAGAGAACCCATCTGTGACACAAATACTAAAGTACTTTTTTTATAGAGTTCACTGTGTTTCCACCAAGACAGTTCATGGTCTCATGGGAAAAGTCTTCACCCATTTCTGTCTAGTCCAATTCAAAATTTGTTTCCCACTCTATTTATTTTTCAATACTTGAAAAATATTGTGGATGTGGGACACCATGTTCACTGAAGAGGATGAGACAAAAAGTCACCAACTTGCCCAATTTCCTTGCTTTTTGCTGTTTTGTTTAGCCTTCCCCCCCACTTTTTCCCTTCCCATTCAAAGGGCTTTTTTTTTTTACTTCTGGAGAACTTGAAGAAAGCTATAGGAGACCCACCAGAGCCCAGGTTAACATCCTGCCTTTATTTTGGACCTTTGGTTCAAACCCATTCCATGTAAAACAATTCTGAATCAGAGCTTCGGGCAAGTGTGATTCATACAGCGTGATTTATTAGGTACCAACCCCCGAATGACAATACTTTTGCAAATGACAAACCATACATGCAAAAATCTGACAATATATCCAACAATGCAACCCTTTTCAGAAAGGCAAAAACATCAAGCAGTGCAGGCATTTTCTTTTTCCTGCAGAGAAACACTTAGAACTGTCTGTCTCTAAAATAAACATATTTTTCCCTTTTTTAAAGATGCAGTGATAATCTTTAAAAGTGATCTTTGGGGATCAAATTAACACTGCATTCAGATGACTGCTGCCAGATTAGGGAAAATAACAGGGTGAGTAGATCTGTCTATACAACAGTGCAATTCAAATGATATGCAATTCAAAAGATAGGCAGATTACACTGCTTAATTAATTAAAAATTAATATTTCTACAGTGAACAGCAGTAGTCAGATTTGGAAACTATCTGCTGTATTGGTCTATTAAAAAGAACTCTTAAGTTCAACTTACTGTTTTGAGTTCCATGAGAACTTGTTCGTCCACTCCTTCATCCAGAAAAACTTCTCTGACATCATTAATGACATCTTCAATTACAGACCTGTACAACTTAGGCTTTAAAAAAAACAGTAACTAGTCAGCACTGTTTTAAAAATAATCTGTCACTTTAACATTAAAATCAGATTTCCCCCCACAAAAAAACTGCATTTCAGAACACACCACACGCTTCTAAGCGACTGAAATATCCAGGAACATATAAATCAGAAAGAGCTCAGACAAGGTGAAAAGGGAAGGGACTGCTCACTATATTCTGTGCCATAACTACAGCACCAGAGTTATCAAGCTATGAAGAGTATAATTTAAAACAGAGAAAAGGAGATTGTTTTCCATTCAGTCAATTTGTTTTCTGGTTGCAAATGTAGATCCTAAACAGGCAAAAATGCTTGGATGTGGGCAAAATGCATTAAAGAGCATTCAAAGTTGTAAAGTGTATTAAAGACAGGAAACTTGTTACTGCTTACTAGTTCAACATGCACCAAGTATGGCTCAGAATGATCTTGAGCTGAAAAACACAGAAGGCTCAAAAAACTGGAAGGATTAATGTGAATGTCCTGTTTTTCTTTATTTGTTTTCAGAAACTCCTTAAGACAGGATATTAGATTAGACAGACTTCTGTTTTCAATCACTACTTATGCTTTTACATTTCAAAATTTTCATGGGGAAATACTAAAAAAATATTATTACACTGCCTTCCCACCTAAACTATCAAGGAAAGTAAACTGTCAGTTCACTTTAGGTTGCCAAAAGAGGTTCTGGAGCCTCCATTCCTGCAGACACTCGAAAGCCATCTGGACATGATCCCGGGCTGTAGTTGGTCCTGCTTCTGCAAGGGGGTTCAAGAAGATCTCTAGAGGTCCCTTCCAACTTCAACCATTTTGAGAATTTTAAAATTAAGGTATAATTTGAAATAAAGAATGTAAACACTTGATATGACCAATTAAAGCACAATTTAATTCACAGAACCACATGAGAACTGTACTATGCACATGCTGCACCTTTGAAATAGTACAGCTCAGACCTCTCTTTGTATTTATGAACCTCAATGGGATTTTGGCTAGACTTAAATATCTGTGCCATCTAATTGCAAGGTAGCACTGCAAGCTGCAAATTATGGTTGATCAATCTTGCAGCCTGCAAACCACATATACTTCACTGACCAAGGCTGCTCCTTGGGCTGCAAGTACACGACTTTCAAACTACCAGAAAGTAGCCACAACTTTCTCTAAACTGTCATTCTCCTCAGCCCCACTGCCTAACTCCCTTAAGCAATAAATCCTGAATGATGCCACACACACCAGACATGTTGTACATATGCAAAATAATCATCCTGTACTGGTGCAGTGGGTTTGGCACTCCAGGAAGGCTGTGCCTCCAAAGCACACACAGGAAATCTGCACCAAACACAAGCAGATAGTCCAGAAGTGTGAGAACCACACAAATTTACTTAATGCATTGAAGCACTTATTTTATGCAGACATTTCTTCTTAGTCCATTCCAAAAGTGCTGAATTTATTGCAGACATGCTAAAAATTGTATTTCACATATTATGGAATTGTTATGCCTAAATTATGGAATAATATAGGGAGACTAGTAGCTCATGATTTACTCATACAGGGAAAATCTGAGTGGCCAAACGGCACAAAAAAGAAGCTGAATATCTTTACTTTTAGATATAAGGGGGAAAAACAGGAAAATAAAACTTAAGAAAATGCATAAAGATTTCAAGGGAATAAAAGAACATACTTGGAACCTGGAAATAAACAGTCTGATAGCTGCTTAGTGCATTATGCCCTTACTGTTTAAAAAAGCTCCACACTGGGGCATGCTCAAGTTATTTTTTTAACAACTCCTGCCCCAGCCCTTTACCCCAAAAAAGAAAATGAAGAGCAAAAATAAACCAAAAAATCCCAACAAAACCCAACAAACGACTCTATGTTATTGATCACATTTTAGCTCTAAAACATGCTCCTGCGAATCAAGTAGCTGAAATATTATCATTTATTCTTTTGCTACTGGTCTTTCAAAAAAAAAAAAAAAAAACCACAAAAAACCCAAAAAAAACCCAACAACACACTAAATATTTCTGTCTTCAAGTAACAAAGTAAGTTTGTCATCTTTGACAACTACATTTACAGCACCTATGTCCATAACTTCTCCAAAAGAAACCAAACATACCATAGTGCATGCTTTCTTACCCAGGTTTGAAATACTACATGAACTGAGTTCATAAACATTGAAACAGACTTTCAAAGCCAGACTTCTCTTGAGTGCTAGTATTTTAAATCTGTGTAGTAACTCAGAAATACCAGGCACCATTAACAGGATTATTTTTCCACTTAATTCATAACAGATGCAAAAAGACATTCTATTTAATAACATTAGGTCCTATTATTTCTATAATTAAAAAAATTGCATGAAGCTTATACGATTCAACTAGCACAAATACTACTTAACCTATTCCATATATTGTTCCTTATTACATTAAAAGCATCTGTTACTTAATGCCAAAACCACACTTTGCAAATAAACATGCTTAACCTCAAGCATATAAGTTACTTTATTAAGTCAAGAGAACTATTACCTGTATGCCTCAAATTACAATCAAAATTCCTGCAGGATGGAGGGTGCATTTTCTCCTTTAATCCTCCTCTCCCTAAAACTACCTATTAGGTCTACTTTTCTAATAAAACAGATTTTACACAAACAGGCCAAATAATTTCTAACAGCAGCTACTTCCTCCTATCTCCACAGTCAGGTATATTCACAAATCCTTCTGAGTCTATAAAGCCCTTTAAGAAGGGCAACATTCAGATACAACAAACTGACTCCATAGCCCAACAGTCTGCTTGGGAATTTTCTTTTTCCCTAGGCAGGTAATAGAAAAAACAAACTGAAGCAGTTACTGGTTTCTAGTGTCCAGCATTAGCTTAGCAAGACCTCAGAAAGGCAGGTTAAAATCACAGATGTCCACTCTGCCTGCTGATCCTTGCTGACACAGGATCCTTCTGCATTACTTGCAACAGCCCAAGTAAGCAGCTAAGTCCCCAGACAGGATAGTGCTGCAGGGGTGGAGTGAGCTGAGCACGGTGTGGGTTAACCAGCCCACCAGCAGTCTGTACACACGTATCCCTCTGCATGAGCCTCACAGTGCACTGCATCTCAAAATGGGTCAGAATTTTCAGATACTTTTTCTAATCATACACTAATTATATACTTTTCTAATTATACACTCATGACTCTGCGATTAGAAGGAAGGAAAGAGAACAAAACATTTCCATGCTTACAATGAAACAGCATCTGATTTTACTGATGCACATTTACATAATATTCAGAAATACCCTGTCCAGTTGAAATTCTCTTTTGTACACTCCTACTGAACATCCAGCCGAGGTGGAACATCTCTCACACTGGGGGCAGCAATGCCTTCAAGAGACATCCACTGTGGAATTCTGAAGAGTATCACAAAATGCTCTTTTACTACCTCAAAAGAGGCATATGCAGTAAAATCACAAAAGAGCACTAAGTTCCAGACTTTAAAAGAAAGCACACTGTACTGTTTTCAACACACACAAAGTGTTCGCTTTAAGCATTATTTATATGATGCTGAAGCTGTTTATATAAGCCATCTAAGACTCTGGAGTCGAATGACAAAACTATTTGCATACATTGCTTACTCAAAAAATAAACACAGGAATACAGTTTAGACTGAGTAAGTCTAAAGATGTCACAGAAGGTGTGCTTTCCAGTAAGTTTCTGTATTCAGTCAGAGAAAGCAATGAGAACAAACGGAAACTTTAAAGATTGCTATTAAAATAATTGTGCTTTCATCTGGTTTATATTAAAGTGCCCCCCTCATAAAGAGTACATTGCTTTAAATGTCAAGCTCTTTTAAGAGCAAAATACTCAAATCACTCTTCAATAAACACTATTCCAAGCACTTACTACAGATTAAAAACAACAATTAAAATTCCTGATTTATTACATACAACCACAAACACACAGAAGAGATTTGGAATCTACTATTTTCCCCTCCAGGAACATAAGAAAATGATTATATTTTACTTTCTCTGTACATCTTGAAAAGAAAACTCTTGAGTATGGTGACACTGCTATACACACTCCAAATCCAGGAGCAACCAGCAAGCTATTTTAAGAAATGCCACATGCCTTTGGGGGCTTACACTTCCTACATTCCTTCTGCTTCAAGGGTACAAAAACTGCAATCCTCTGTAATTATTATCACAACACTTGGGATTTCAGCAATTTGTGTTTCCAATAACCAACATGTTATGGAGAGACAGACCATAGCATGCTTTGTACATCTGACAATAGCTTGTTCCTGGTTGCTTCTGCAGCTCTCCCTGAAACACTGCTAATCTTTCTCTCAGCCACACAGTTACCGCTGTAAGCTGGCCACATGCAGCCAGCAGAGCACACTGTAAAGGTAACTACTTCTAGTCACAATTACATCAAAGATGTGCAGTAAAAAGTAACATATATCTATATTGTAAGCATTCCAATTTGAGTTTAATGTTGTTGTGGACTTGTACAAATAAATTACTTTTATCACCCGTAAAATCTTATACTACATATAAATGTTAACATCTTAATATTTATCCTTTATTACAGAGAACATATTTCTAGCAATTCAGATACAATCAGAGATGCTGATGTGAAGCTATTGACACATTAGGCTCCAAGTCCAGCTTCCTACTAAAGTCACGTGGTTGCAGCATTTCAAAATGTTCCTACTCATGTTTGGCAATCTTTGGGTAAGCAACGTATTTTTTGCTACTGAATGAGACTCAATTGATAAAAGTGTAAGATTTTACTGATTAATTGAAAACTGACCTAAAACATACCCATCTGAAGCAGTCTCATTTTAAGCTTGGCTTTTACTATTCCACACATTGACACCTTTCAAAAGGACTTCCAGTACAGAAACACAGTGAAAGAAAACAAGTCTTAGTAAACTGTTGAGTCAAAAATATTCACAAGTCCTCCGGAGATTATTCAACATATGTATTTTTTGCTATTCAGTACTACCTTGGTCAAGAAATAGAAGCAAAACCTCTAATTTACTACACAGAAATAAAAACCTTTCTTACAATAAAAAACACAAAACAAGAAGTTAATAAATAAAAATTGAAAACACACACATTCAATACGCATCCCGCTGAGTAACTGCCCTTTGTATAACAGCTACTTTCCTAAAATTTTAACACAAAAGCTGGCAAAGTATCAAATCAAAGATGTTTCCTTGCAATTCCATTAACCTAACTCACAAGCAGGTCTCTAACATTTCAGATTAGGAAAAGAAAACTAAGATGCTTTACATTTTCTTTTGTATATTTTGTAGTAGTGAATTAAGTAGTGAAAATTCCAAAACCACTGCTCTGCCTGGACTGCAATAAAATATTTGTACACTGTAGGCACCAGAAACACACATAAATCATTGAGCAGCATCTGCAGCCCATGACCCATGCATAAAACTTGAATATTAACTTCACTTTTGGGGAGACAGATGTAGTCAGACCTCGGCAAAGTGCCATAAAATAAATACCACAACTCTCCTTGATACACTGGGAAAGAACCGTTTAAACACTCCCTTCCCCAGGCAGCAGAAAAGCTACTTTGAAGACTTTACAGGAGCACAGGAACGTGTGCGAGCTATACGCCAAGGACAAAAAACCCAAACCCTAAACAAACAAAATATCCCACAGCAAAACGCAAAACCAACCAAGCAAAATCAATTTTAAAAAATTAAAAAACAAAAACAGAAAAAAAAAAAAGGAAGGAAAAGGTAAAACAGATTCAAATGCAGGAACAGATGAAAACTGTCTTTGTGCGATGTGTAGAAGCAAAGGAAAGCCCATCTACACGGGTTAGGAGACACCCTCGCTCCCGCAAAGCACCACCGCTCTGCAGCCCAGTGGCGACGGGGACGGGCGGCGTGGAGGGAAGAAAAGCCGATGGGCAAGGCCGGTCGGAATCCGAGGGACAAGCCGCCCGCCTCCCAGCCTCCGCCGCGGACGCATGCACCTCCCAGCCCGCGCTCCGCGGCTCGCTCCCTATTTAAAGGCTGATGTGGTGTTTAAATGGAGAGGCGGTGACGTGGGGCTGGAAAGCACCTTCCCATCCTAGCAGAGTCTATATTAGAGAGCGGCAATAGCGCTATATAAACAGGGCAGCCACAGGGAGGAGGAACACAAGGAGCAGAGAGGCAGAAAGGCAGGGGGAAGCCATGATGGATCTGAGAGCCACAAACAAGGGGGCCGAGCCCGCCGCCGGGACGCCGGGTTTGTCTCCTCCAGCGCTTCGGGGCGGGGGTCGCGGCCGGGGGCGCGCCGGGGAGCGGAGCGGCGGCCGGGGGGGCTCGGTGGCAGCGCAGGTCTGTGTGACTGCTTGTTGCAAACCTCTGTGAGTACAAGTGCAGCAGCGAGCCACCCGCCAAGGTGCAGAAAGCACGAGAAGGGAACGGGGGGGGAGGTTTGGGTTTTCTTTTTTTTTTTTTCCCTTTTTTTTTTTTCTCTCTTTTTAAAATAAATACTGCCTGCTCGCCAGAGCTGAGGGCTTTCGCTCGGCTTAGCCGATCCGGCTGGACTGGGATAAGTGCTTTTCAACCATCGTCTCCTTCTTACAAAGCAACATAAAATGGCTCCAGCGGAGCCCAGGCGGGCTTCCCCGACACCGCAAAACCGAAACCTGGCTCGGGAACCCCTTCCCCTCATCTCGGGGCGGGCGTTAGCGCCCGCGCTCCTGCAGCTCTCGCCCCTTCCCCGGGCGCCTCCCGCCGGCGGCGGCGGCGCCCCCCGCCCGACGGCCCTTCCTTCCCTTCCCCGCCGGACCCCCGGCCTCCCCGCGGGGCCGCCCCCGGGCCGCCGCCCCGCGCCCCCACCGCTCCGCTCCCGCCGCCTCTCTCTCCCCGCCGCCGGGCGCCACAAGTTGGCTGCCGCCGCGGGGGCGAGGCTGTCCCGCGCCCCCCGCCGCCCCTGCCCGCCGGGGGGCCGGGACCGCCCGAGGCGGGCGGCGGGAGGGAAGGGAGTGCGGGGGAGGGGGCGGCGGGCCCCGCCAGCCACCTCCACCCGCGCTGCCCCCGGGGCCCCCCTCGTCCCCCGACCCGGTCCTTACCACGGGGTTTGTGTTAGTCGAGCTCGCCATGTCCCGAGCCCCCCGGGACGCCCCCAACCGCGGGGGGGGAGTCGCCCCTAAAACAATAAACCTGCCCGGCTGCGTCCCCCCAGCACCCGCGCGTTCCGCCCCGGCTCACGGGCGGCCCCGCGGCCTGTGCCGGGCTCGCTCGCGGCCCCGGGGCTGCAGCCGCCGCGCTGCCGCCTCGCCCCTTTATATAGCGCGAGTCGAGCGCTGCGCGAGCGGCCGGCGAGTGGGGGACGCGGGCGGGGGGGCTGAGGCACCGCGAGAGCTGCCGCGAGACCGTTGCCGAGAGCACGTCACGTGAGCCGCCCCGCCCTCGCCGCCATGACATTTATCGAGGCGGAAGTGGCTGCGCGCGGCGGCGCTGCCGGGCCCTATCGAGGCGGAAGTGTCTTCGTTTCTCTCCGGAGCGCCGTCCCCGCCCGGGTTGTGACGTCACGAGGCGCGCGCGGCAGGCTGCGGCGGGGCGCGGCGTTCCGTGGTCGCGTGCGGGACAGGAAAACGGAATCGTTTAGTTTGGAAAAGATCTGTAAGAACATGGAGTCCAACCAATAACCGAACACTACCGTGTCAGCTAGACTAGGGCACTAAGTGTCAACGTCGAGTTTTGCCTTAAACACTTCCACGGGTGTTGACTCCACCACATCTCTGGGCAGCTCATTCCAATGTCTCATCACCTTTTACGTGAAGAAATTCACTCTAATCGCCAACCTCCCTGTCCTGTTCTGTCACTGGTCGCCTGGCAGAAGAGGCAAGTCTCCACCTGGGTACAATTTTCTTTCAGGCGGTTGTAGAGAACAAAAACGTGAGCCTCCCTTCCTCCACGCTAAACAACCCCAGCTTCTTCAGCTGCTTCTCATCAGACTTAGGCTTCAGATCCTTCACCAGCTCCGTTCCCCTTCTCTGGACACACTTCAGCACCTCAATGTCTTCCCTGAACTGAGAGGTCCAGAACTGAGCGCAGGATTCAAGGTGCAGCCTCACCAGTGTCAAATAGAGGGATAAAATCAATGCCCTAGTCCTGCTGGTCACAGTATTGCTGATACAGGCCAAGGTGCCATCAGCCTTTTTGGCCACGTGGGCACACACTGACTCGTGTTCAGCTGCTGTTGGCCAGGGCTAGGCTGTGGTAGCCATGCCAAGGCAGAGTGCTGGGAGAAGGGCTGGCAGCCCTCACAGAGGAGGTGGCTCAGGCCCTGCTGCCCATGCTGCTGGTCACAACCGGTGCCAGGCTCTGCAGAAATCAACACACTTCACCTCAGTCCCTGAGAGGCTGCTCCAAGGCAATTAAAAACCACAAGTAATCACTGCAAGGCAGAAATGGCTCTTCTGGGCCCACAAGAAAGGAGTTCATGAGCCCCACTCAGCATTGTGAGCACTGGTGCCTTCCCTTACAAGATTAAAGGCTGCCCAGGCCTAGGTGCCACTGTTGTAGGCAGTGTGCCACCACCTGGGCTGGTAGCTGAGGCTGGAGCTGGCCAGGAAGAGGCAGGCAGCACAACCTAAGAATTTACAGATGTCCTTCCTCGGGGTCTCGTTAAGGCCTACAGATGTTACTGATCTGCAACATTGCCGCTTTTAACAATTCTTCACCAAGTCGATGACAACAGGATCTCCCGTCTGTGCAAACGGTTGTCAGAGCTTTGCCAGCTGGCTTAACTTCTATTTTTCCTGCTTTTTTGTCTTTTCTTTCATTCCCTCTTTATCCTCTTTCTCTACCGTAGCCTATGAGAGGCACGTAATATAGGAAAATCTCCTCAACTCTGAGTATTGTTCTATCAGTGTTAACCATTCCCGCCTTTGCTCAGTCCTTAGCACAACTTCTGAACTCCACTCATCCCTTAGATCTCCACCAATAACTCACCTGTGTGAAGTCCACTCAAACAGAAATGAAAAATAACGTTTAATTCTGACTTGGTATACACAAGGCATAGTACGTTACATTTCTTCAACAATTGTGGTGGTGTAAACTACATTTGTTATGTAACCTTCAGCCTGAAGTCCTCTCTATTAACTAGCCCTAGTAACAAGTTCAGGAACTCCTGTCTGGTATCTTTTGATGGGGAGGAGTTTGTTAATATGTATAGTGGATACAGGAGGCCTTCCCCTCTGGTTCATGAAAATCTTTCATTTCTACAGTAACACAGCTACCTTCCCTGCTGGAGTGCAGATTTTGCATAGGAACATGAGTGGTTGCTTTAGAGTGGGTTGGCTAATAAAGTCAGTATTCACTGGGTGCATTGCTGGACCCCTGGCCAAAAAAATAATATAGTCTACAAAGTTCTACCATTCTCACCTGTCCAACCTCACCTTTTTGCTGGATTTTTCCACCTGCATAGCACAGCCAATAGGACTGAAGAGGATTTGCCCACTCAGAAGCCCTAATTCATAGTCTGATGAATGAATTACAGGGATTCATTGGGATGCTGGTGTTACTTGACTTCTGATGCCTCTGATAGTAAGGTAGTAGTCTCTTGGAAAAAGTTTGTACTTCACTGTGAAATAAAACTGCCAAAATGACTGGCATGTTACCAGGAAGGAATCAGGTTGCCATTCATACCCCTTTTCTTTTCAAAAGAAGGCATTGCATGGCTACAGTTTCATACCCTGGAACCCCCTCCCAGTTTTTTAGAGTGCTTACTAAATAGATTAAAAATTTAACATGTGGGTATGTTAGCAGTACTGCCTCAGTCTGGTGTCATGCTGCTTTCCATATTTCATCAGACTGCCTTCTCAGAAGGCAAGACCTATGTGCACAGCCCTCTCACGGTTTTTCAGGCACTAATATCCAGTGTAGCACAGCACTGCGAACCCCTGAGTGCCTCTGAAGAATATTGCTGAACAAAATCAAGCCCTCATGAGAAATGCCCCATTGAGTCAGACTAATGGTCCATTTAATTCATGGCAATTCAGCTGCTGCTTGGGGAATCAAGCGAGTTGGCCACTTCCTGAAGTCTGGTTCACCCTGGCTGCCTGCTGTATGCATGTTAAGGGATTCTACTTCATTTAGCATTTTGTTAGACTGGAATAACATACATGCTTGTGTACAGTGCAGGAGCAACTCTGATAGTCTGGGGAGCCTCAGAAGGCATAAGTTACATAACAACATTATTTTTATAGTTATCTATGTTTATCTGCCAGCATTCTCCTTTGTTTGCTGGGCAAGCATGAATCTTCCTAAGTTTGTATGTTACCCTGTCTGTCATCTTTCTCCCTGAGATTTCTGCCACTGACAGGGTGGCTTCACCAGGTTTAGCAATAATGTCAGCTGTACTGTTGAGTGGGCACTTCTATTTTAGCTATTGGCCTATGTAGACTTGAGCCCCATAGTGAAAGTGGACATTACATCAAGAGCAAAGATGATGACATTTGGGCAAACTTTCTCCTCTAATGCAAAAATCATGCCAAATATGAGATAGTATAAGGAAAAAACAATTTGTGCTCAAGATCAAAAACTGATCCTTAGTGTGTTAGAGAAGGAAATAATATTAAAAAGTTCCCACTCAATCCTAGACACAATCATATTTCTTTTTCTATCAAGTGTTTGAGACGAAGACAAACCATCTTTTTTGCAGTCAGAGACACACAGTCTACATTGTGTACCTTGGATGATTCCCAGCCTGTTCAGAAGCATCCCTTGCTTCTCCTCAGCAGGGCAAATTACTTACCACTGCAACAGTAGCTAAATTAATACAAAGGGTCTAGGATATGGGGATATCTGTAGTTCATCTTTGTAGTCTATCATGGAAATTGTGAGTAGGGAGCTGCAGGGGGTGGCAAGGAAGAAATAAATTTTCTTCAGTATGATTTTTGAGTTGGCCACCATTCCATTTTAAAGTTCTTGGCAAGTTCTACTGGGTTGTTCTACACAGCACATCTTTCAAGAAGACATTTCCAAAGAGATAACTGATGTATAAGTATTTGCTAATAGGGGAGGGATGGGACACTCTTGAATCCAGAAAGTCAAAGATGCAAAGTATCTGTGATTGCCACAGGAGACCATCAGCTAGTAACTGAGCTGGAAGAAAGAACCACAAAATCTTGATGTTAAGTTAAAACACATTCAGTGTAAGTTGCAATCTTAATTTCTATTTTTCTCTGTTATTTAGGGTTTTTTTTTTTTAATTGAGGTTTTTTTGGTTCATCTGAAAATTGTAAAAAAAAAAAAATTTTGAAACTACTCTTTGGCCCCCAAGAGCAGATGATGAGTATGCGTGATCTCCTGCACCTGGAGAAATCACTACCACAGCAGTATCAGCATACACTCATTTTTCTTTGAAATCATGTCTGATCATACAGTGAAAAATAGAGGACTTAGTACGAGGTGTTGCTGACAACAGTGGTTTTTAATTTCCTTCCTAGTTTTTCTTGAAACAAAATAAAACTTGTTTTGTTGATGACTTGTGATTATGTCTGCTAGTTCCCCTTCCCTCTGAGGGGGGTGGTCGAGCAAGGAAAACAAAAATTGGTCTTAATTATATTACAGGATGAGATGACAGAATGATGCTCACCATCAGCACATCTTCCAGAGTTGTCATCGTTGTCTTGTCCACATTATCAATCTGCTCTTGTACTGGTAAAGTCTCCTGCTTCAGGCATGAAGACAACATACAATTTTCACCCAGTATATTTATTATACTCTTACCTTAAAAACAAGCCAAGCCATTGAACAATTTTCAGAAAGCTTTGGCAACACATTAGTATTATTAGTCAAAAAGTAAACCTTCTCCAATGTCTGAAATGGCATGTTTCCACAAGAGTGAGATACACATTTAAACTTCAAATTGCAATTGCATGTGTTAAAGGATAAAACAGGAACATACAACATACACTAAGAACTAAGACAGTCAAAAAAATGTTCTTAAGGGAAAATGCTTCTTAAAGTGCTGTTCACACATTGTGAGATTAGAGCTTATTTTCTCCTCTAAGTCTCTCTCACTGCTTCCATTCACTGTACCAAAGAGAGAATATAATCTTAAATAAAATTTGAGAAATTTTGTTTGTTTGTGAGGGGTGGCTGTTTTTGTTCTTTTTGTTTCTTTGGGGTTTTAAAGTGTCCATACAGACCTAAAAACAAAAGTGGCCCAAGCCACAATCAAAAATGTTGGGCACACGCAGAAGTTAAAAGCAGACATATCATAATGAAGCTCTTCTGGATGCAACAAGCCCTCAAGTATCAAAAGGGAGGCTGACACATAACAAAATTTACATGATATGACTTTCAGACTGTTCAGGTATTGAATAAAAATTCCCTAATTGAATGGTATAAAATATATATTTTA